AGGATTAAATTTCTATAACATCCGCACTTTTCGAAGGTTATTTTGTTAAAAAAGAAACATTTCTTTTTCGGAACATATTTCTGGGATTTATCGCAACAGATGCACAAAATTTCAGCAAGGGAATTAAGGGCCGATATCTACTCACCAACGATGAATTAACTTTTGATATCAAGATTCACTACCTGCTGTTCCCGAGTGGATCGAGTCGGCAAAAACAAACAGGACCTAACCTGGCACAGTAGCTTTTTAACAATCCCTAAAGATTTCCACCTGCGAGCCGTATTAATAACTGTTTGAAAAACACCCTCATTTCACAGTTTTTGCAAATCAAACAAGCGATATTGCCGGATACGCTGAATTAACATCTTAAAAGCTTGCAATTTCCTCCGCGACCACAATGAGCTACGTTTGACATTTCTGTCAAGTGAAGCTTTCAGATTCGATTTCAGAATAAAAAGAATTTTTCTCTCGTGTTACTGTACTTAGTTCAATTGCGATGTAGTTTTCAAAAATTGATAAATATTTCACAAGGCTAACTGTAACTGAGGAATTCTCCTGATGCACGACCAGTTTAAAACGCAAAATATTAAGTAAATAGTTCACCGATAAATTGATTCGCTATTGGATAGGAACGACGTGTGTTTAATTCACAGACAACATCATGGCTTAACTGTAATAATGTTGCACTTTTTTTCAATATTCGGCCTGTGTAAACAAAAGCTTGAATAAGAAGTACGAGCTTTTCAATTTCTTTTTGGGATTACAATCTAAGTTGTCTTCGCAAAATAAAAAATAGTTCACGCTGCGTTGAATTTTACATCAATGATCAACAGAAGTTCTTCAGGTCTGTTCGCCTTGATTAACGGTTCGACACAACGCGAAATTTAATGATTTGTTATAATTTTGTTTTTCATCAAAGTCAAATTCATTATCGAGTTTTACCTTAAACTAACCCGCACTAGGTAAGCAGCTGTTAATTCGTTTCCTACAGTTAAACTTTTTCATTAAAACTTTTAAATTGACGCACAAAAACCTTCTAATTAAAACAAACGCCACTGAAGTCAAGGAAATAGTCGAAGCTCACAGTTCAGAAAATAAGACCCAATTATCTTAAACTTTTGGAGTTGCCGATTTGATTGAGCACTTGATACAGAATATTCTTGTCAAGTAAAAGAAAAATGCTACAAGACTCAGCAAACGACTTTCATTCTGGTTTTTCGTAGTGTACAACTAATTTCATTTTGCGATGTTTGTCAAACTTGTTTATTTAGAGACAGCTCTGATTTCTTGTACGATTGCGGTAACATTCAAGAATGAAAAGGCTCTCAGCTGTTTCCTGACTCAATACTTGCGTCCATTAAGACACAGTTTTTCAGCTGTTTTACAGTTTTGCAACAATTTTGATATGGAGAACGGGTAATCGATAATCCCTCCAATTTACAGCTCGAGCGCGCGCCGCGCTAAGTGGAACACAAGGCGGAATCACATTGTTAGACAGTTAAAATGGAACGTATTTTATCAGTGTTTGCTGTTTGTCAATAAGTAAACTTTACTTCTTTTACCTTGTTTTATTTCTGACACTTTTGGTTTAATTTCCTATGCAAGTAAATTTAAACGCTTCTTTTTAGACGGAAGACAAGTCTATGAGTATATCGGAAAGATACAAATGTACTATCACATCAAAGTGGCATGGTCAAATCGCTGAGAAGAAAATTACAGTAAAAAGTGCGAAGAAAGATTAACTACAAAATGTGCAGAAAATGAGAGGAAAATATCATTATTTTGGTCTTAACAACTTAAATAAAAAAAATGAAAAATTTCGTTGAAGGCTAATTTAAATCCAAAGGCGACATGGAATGAATCTTTAAGCAGAGTGGAATCGAGAAGGTTATCTAAGTTTTGTGTGTCTCAAGATGAAAAAAATCTCGATGGAGAACTGAAATAAAGGAAAACCAAATACCAGTTCCTTTTAGTAATACCTCATGTCATCGAATCTTTCCCCGGCTTCTTTTTTGCCTAATAATAACCAACCTTTCATCTCCGGAAGAGAGTTTTACAAGAGACATGGGGTCTATCTTTAACCTTTGCCGTAATTTTTTATTAAAATGAAGCTTCTTCAGCAAAATGTTCGAATGCAATATTTTTTCTTTCGTATTTTAAAGTAAAAATTGGCATATCTGCTAGTGAAGGTTACTAAAATGTAACTTCAATACCACATAGCTAGCCTGGCGCCACAGGTATCTAGTCTGAAAGTCATGTTTCAATTTCCTTTGAAATGTAGTTAGTATTAAGGAATTTACTGAGAGGACCAGTCGAGAGAAGATCTCCTGCCGGTAGCCTGCGAGCAAGATCTCCGGGGCGCTCTGGCGGCGGGGCGGGAAAGCATCGCCCAGTATGCCTATTGTTCTCAGGACATTTAATTCCAATTCACCAAAGTTTATAGATCTGTCATATTACAAGCAGTCATGCTTAGACGCTGTAAGAGCGCTTCAGCCATTGGTTGCCAAGAATGCATGACGATTCTCATTAATATGATGAAGGTGGAAATCTAAACAATGAATGCAGCACGCTATGTTTTCCACTTTTAGCTCTTTTGTTTCACAAAATCGCGCACGCGCTTTTTTCACAGTAAACGTTAATAACATCACTTTCCTTTATTTGCGGGAATTTTGTTGCTTGAAAAGTTAAACCACAGAAAGAGCTTGCAACTACGTCTCAGAAATTTGAATATGTGCATCGAAAAAGTCCATGCGAAATGCTGAAATTCCAGAGACGTAGTTGCAAGCTCTCCTTCCTTTTCCCGCCCCGCCGCCAGTGTTCCCCAGAGAGCTGGCTCGCAGGCTATCCTGCCGGTACAATTTCTCACTTTTCCAAATCTGCTGATGATTACTGATATAGTTTATTTACTCCTTCCAAATGACCTCATTTTAGCATATGTGAATTATATCCTTCTCTGATATTACCCAGCATGTGCAAGGACAAGAGTTTCATTATGGCACTGACGTCTCTTTACCCAATCTCTTCACCAGAGCCTTCGGATCTTATGGCTGCGCATGTCTCTTTGCCCTTAGTCCGGAACACTAGCCGTTTTGGTAGAAAACCCGGATGTTCAGGATTGCCAAGCGGCCTCAGATTTGTTGTATGTAATATAAGAATTAATCGACCAGTCTCTTTGAGATTCTTTTATTGACTTTTTTTATTCACGAAATATCAATTCTTCACGGAATTCTTTCAATAAGAATTTAAGTATAAGAAACTAGATTGGATAAATTTTTCTCTAGAAGACCTTTTCGATGTGATTCCTTTCGCATCGCATACGCAGACTCAAGGAGCCATGCAACAAATGAGATTAAGACTGTCCTCAGAACTGACTTTTTTGTTCCTCTCTTATAACCTGAAGAAAATAAAGGATATTTTAATGGCGAAAAAAACAGAGACAAAGATTCGCCTATTGTATTAGTTGACAGTGGTTTGCGTCGACTTAGTAGGCAAATGACCTATACATTAAGAAATGTAAGTACAATCGGGACATCTGCGTTTCGGTCTTCCTAATTTTCACAAATGTCAAGTTATCTTCGGGAATTAACGAAAAGAGACTGGACGCTAATAACTAATTATTGAAAGGCTGTTGCGAGTTTTGGAAAATCTACGGTAAAATAAAGAGAGTCTTCCAGAACTTTTGAATCTATTTATCTGGGTTAATTTTCAATGCAAAGGATAAAATTAATACACAATTTCCTAGTTACTGCAAGCCTCTTTTTCCACATGAAGCTATTGTTGATTATGAAAATGATTTCTTATTCTAATGCAAATAAAACTTATTTTCACAAGAAAAGTTTTGCACTTAGCCTCGTTTTGAAAGTGAGATTTTGGAACTCCGAAATGGCCTACTCATACAAATTGCTCTATGGTGCGTCATCAATACCCAATCTTTCGAAGGCTCACTCAGGCTCATTACAGAGCAGGTGTTAAAAATTTTTCTGCTTTTACGATTCTTACCGCAATGAAAGAGTTTATTTCTCCTTAATGAAAGTTATCATTGTGTAAACTTGTAATTTTCATTTGTTAATATCATTCGATATTGGTCTTGTTTAACACCCCGGTTTCAGCTTTTCCGGCTGCTCATGATTTTTTTTTTTCAAATTCAAACTGCATGCACAAAAAGAATTAGAGTCCCTGAGTTTGTGATTAACCTTCAAAAAATCGCACTTACTGGCTGAAGAATTAACTGGAAATTCTTCATGCTGAACAATTGTTTGAGTTTCTTGTTCATTGTACAGCCAGCGCGTCAGACAATTCTTCGTTAACGAGCCGCGTCAGTTACCAAGATCTAGATCCCTTTTGTTACTTCGATCCTTCACATAGAGGGGTGACGCATGGTCTTTGCGCGCATTCGCGAGCATGCCGAGCACTGCGATTTTTTTGCGAGCACGAGCAGAAATAAAAAATTTGCTTTGCGAGCTTGCGAGCAACGCAAAAATTTGGGGAGCACGAGCAAGCGAGCACTCGTTTAAATTTTGCGAGCAAATCGAGCAAAGGTAAAATTTTGCGAGCAGTTAAAAATTTTAATGGACCATTCATCACCCCAACATAGGAGAGGTATAATGACTATGACGTTAACAACAAAGTGTGTGCTTATCTGTACTTCTTTAATTACTGCATTTTCAATAATACAAAAAGAGAAATGAAGACCATCCCGCATTGATACATGTTTTCTCTTTCTTTACCGAGTCGTAAGAGGTATTTCATTTGATAACGTATCATAGAACCGAGAAAATAGTAGGATGAGTGTTTTGGTTTTTTTCAAGAGCCTCAAGGCGTTAATTGCTTATTTTTTTTCTGCCGGAAATGGAAAAAAAAGACTAGTTTCCAAAAAGACTGAAAGACCTCAACGCCTTAGAAAGGCATCGTGTACCGTAAAATTTTCACGCAAACTCTGTTACTTCAGTACTTGAGACCGAGGATCGACAACACATCCATTTTACTAAATAAGAGTGGAAAGATCTACCTAAAGCTGCCTTAGCTCGCCGATACATGGCAACCCATGTATTTCTCATTTCCGTGTTGAGGCCAGCGTATATAAAAACGTTGACACAAGCGTTTGCGTAAGCCATAAACACGGTTACCTTGACAACAATGAGAGGCGTGCATGAAACACAACCCAATAGACTAATGATGTCAATCACTGTGATTGGCGTTGTCAAAAACACAAAGATACCAACTACGATCAGAACAATCTTTGTCCCTTTTCGATCAGCATTTTCGCTGTTGCTAATAACAAACACTCGGTTGTTAATCGTTTTATTGTCGGCAGTTGTTCGGATATTAGACAACGTCATTGGCTTGCTTTTTGCAGCAACTGAAAATGGCACCTCCAATAGTGTTCCGAGATTTTTGTCGATGTTGATACGATGAACCTGTCTCCTTGCAGTTTTGAGGATGAAATAGTTGGTAAATGCCAGTATTAGGATCACAGCTAAATTGACGATGGAAAATAACACAAAGAGATATTCTCTACTCAGTGTGGTGGAATACAAGCAGATATCAGACACGTCAGCAGCAGCTGCAGCTCCCCATCCCATAATAGGTAAGAAGGCGATGATGAAAATGATCACCCAAGATACCGCGACAATAAGAGCCAGTCTCGAAGGTACAGCTAAGAGAGGGTATAGAAAAGGCTTTTTCAATGCAAAATATCGATCGAGGCTTATCAGAGTCAAGTTAAAGTTTGAAGCGCCGAAGAAAAACACAGTTAAAGGTATAACAACCAGGCATGGTATTAATGGTTTTTTGTCAGCTTGGTTGAGTTGATCTGCAAGACGAAGGGGCATGGCAATAGCTCCTTGAAGCATATCAGCTACAGCCAGGTTAAGGAAAAGAAAGTTGTACGGCACTGTGCGAAGTCTTTTGTTCCACAAGATCGCCACGATGACCATCAAGTTGCCGAAAACAGCCACAACAGAAACGACAACCATGAAAATAGAGGTTAAAATCGCTTCAAGTCGGTAGGAGGACATTTCAAGCGAAGGATTGTTTCCTTGTGAATCCTTAAACTAAATTAGACACTTAAAAAAGTCTTGTTTAACTGAAGTGAACTGAGAAATATTCGGCCAGCAATACCGTTTTTTACTGATCCATGAGTGATATGACCTTAAGTTCTAACTTTGTTTCGTAGCTTTTCGTTAACAAGCGCAAAATGTTTCAGCCTGTTTCGCGACGCGAGTATTGATCATTTTAAAAGAGGTTATTTGAAAGACAATAACAGTAGAAGCGGAAGAAACCCTTCGACGTTTACACTTAGTCAAGTAAAGAAACAAAGCGTTCGTGTCAAGTAATAGCTCTTATTGGCTCGATCAGCATTACAGCAAACAATTTTCGTGAAATGACAACCATCAAACTGAGGCATTGGATGAATAGATCGTGTCAAACAGCAAGTATCCAAGTCATATTATCAGATGTATTCTATTGTAGACAGAGGAGTCGGGGTTCTCATTTTTTAATGAAGTTTTAAGGACATGAAATAATTATTTTTTAGGAACTCAATAAGTGAATCTCTATTTATGACGAAATCAACCTTAATGTTGCAATTATTACTAGTATTCATTTATCTTTGCTGACACTTATTTCAATTGGTTCGCATTGAGTTTACTTTCATCTTTACACACATTAAGCAAATAGAAAACCCTCATTTTTAATCTGTTGATATTGTGTCTATTGAAAAAGAGAAAACGATTAACTCCCGACCTCTTACCGGGTTTCAGTTGTTATTTTTAATGGTAACTCTCGACCTCTTACCGGTTTCAGTTGTTATTTTTAATGGTACGCTTATCAATTCATAGGATCCTGTTTTGTAAAGAAATAAAAAAACTAACTTCAAATCACACAGAGTTACCTAATAAGATAGTAACGCTAGTAACCTATATAATTTATGGGCGTGCGGAAAGCAATTTTTCCGAGGCCGTGATATTTTATACCGCTAGGGTATCAGCTATCCTGATCATATTGATTAAAAGGTTGGATTCATAAGAGAGGAAAAAAGTGATGGCAAATGATTTAAGAAATATCCTCGAAAAATCTATAATAAAATTGAAATAAGACTGAACTTCAGGAGACAGCAATTTTGTCAAGATTTCGGGCAGGCACGCGGCGGGATATACACAGGGGCAGCTGCAAAACAACTTTTAGAGCAATCTCACTTCCTGAGGCTACAATACCTTTGTTCAGCGGATGGGTCCCGTTGGCCATATAACGTCATGCACCCTGTAACGACGCTCCTGTTGTTTGGAGCGAAAAATGTTTAATTTGTAAAATTGAGTCCGATCCCAGTCCTAACTAATGCTATATTGCTATTCTACTGCTTCGCGTGCACATGAAACGGTCGAAAATGGTTAGAGACACGTCACGTCACGTCCGTAACAAATCAGTTGCGGGCCAGCGACATCGGGAGTTTTGAAATGTTTTTGGTGTGGACTATCCTTTGAGTCCCAGCGGTAGGAAATCCACGTGGTCCTCCTTGATGTCCACGCTGAACTCTTGACTGATTTCCTTTGTTTCGTTTGATGATCGATTGATTAGTTTTTGTAACATTTTTGTTTGATTATGTGTTGAAATGAAGCCGAGGTGAACTGTACAGTACCGCAATTCATCCACGACCGCAAATGAACCCCAAAATGGACCGTAAATGATCCCCGAATCCCGGAAGTGTATTACCAATCCAAAAAATGAATTAAAGTAACAACATTTGAAGAAACGAAAGTTCTTCTCAGTCTCTGAACAAGAGGATATAGCCCCGAACTGCTATGATAGCTAGGGGTATTGGTCCGGTACAACCTAAATATACATTCTATTAACGATACATACTGGATTCTTCAATAGCCTTCAAAGTTACAATGACATGCGCAATACTTAATTTCATTTAATCTATTTACTGCATCGTCTTCCGCCTTACTTCGTTAGCGGCTTTTGTTTGAGAGTGGATAAGGTTGCCAAAGACTGATCTACATTCATGTAGAGTGCAGTAGGCTAGCCTCTCTCAAAACACAATATGTATATATATACATGCTGCTCAGTTTTGTTATTGATCATATCAGCAAAACGTTTGCTACACTGACCCTTTCATCGGGAGCTTCAAGACACAAGAATGCTATGACATACACGATTATTGTCAATAACTGTTGTGTGTCATATTTTACAGTGCAATAAACGCTCTAAAACAAGTAATTTCTATTTCAATCACTTCTACTTGGTCGAACTTATTAAGAAATACGCGCATTTTGAAAATATCTGGCATGCAAAGGTTGTGTTTATCGGGTAGAAGTATGTTTACGTTAATGTGTATTTCCGCGAAACGGTTGTGAGCCATTGAGACGCGAGAACCTTATTTATACCTTGTAGCCTATCCTACACGCTAACCTTTGTTCTGCAGTCAGGATATAAGCATTACACGTACAATTTCTCCTTATATCAAGGAATGCACGATAATACAGATAATGTTGTAAAGTGCAGCAACAATGAACACTGTAAGCAAGAAACGTGACGTGCCTTTCGCCTTATCCATTATTTTGAACGCTGCCGGATGAAAGACTTGTAATTTGAATTTGCCCGACTGCATCACTTGAAGACCAATCTCCACATTATCCGTGGAAATACCAATTCCTCTCAATTCCTCCACGAAAACCTCCCATAAGGCGTTGAGCGTTGGAAGGTTGTCCACAGTCTTTTACTTCATGACGATGGGTAGCGACCTGCGGTTCACAACCTCATTTTGGCAATACGTGGCAAGGAATGGTACATCAAAAATCAAGCCAATTATCGCAGCAGTTAGATTAGCAGCTCCACCCATGCTACACAGAAATCCCACTGCAGCAAACCATAATGGCGCCACACAATAAACTGGTAGCGTTTCATATGGATAGAATGGATTACTTTCCTGGATGAAGATGTTTGTGTATCGATGGACGTTTGTTCGACGAACATCGAACTTGGTGCCATAATTTTCAATTTGCACATTTCTCTCACGTTGAATCTCTGCTCTTGTGATAGGCGTTCTTTTGTTCTGTAATTGGCAAACCTGCCGGTGATAAAATTTGTAGGAGAAGCAAACACAAGACACTGTGGAACGCTCAAGTGTTGCTGTGTCAACGCAATAGGCTTTTCCCCGAAATAGGCCTTTTGGCCGCGTGATCAACTGGGTGGCAAAAGTTGTTTTGCTCATACAAATCCTTCTAATTTTCGGCGGCCGTTGCAATAGCTACTTTTGAGATATACCGCTGAAAATTTACAGGTTAACTAATTTTAATATGCTCTTTCAGTTCGTGCTAACAAACTTGTCCTAAAGTGAGTTGTTTTTTGTGTTTACAGAAAGTTAATCACATCATCAACTAATGCAAAAGGCCTGTTACGTTAGTCATATGATACGAATTTTTGGCCTCAAGGATTCCTTCCAAGAAAAATCTGCCGCTGCAGATGATTGTCTTCTCCCTCCTCTAAAAATAAATGAAAAAAAGCGTGAATTGCTAAGTAGGTGAGATGATTCAGTCACTGTCCTTTACAAGTCTCGAGGTACTGGGGATTGTCTGTCCTGGACTAATTTGAGCGTCACAGAGAGACACGCGGGATGACTTCAACGAGGGTTGGATTTGAATTTACAATTTAATTTAGTTGTACGAGCTACTGCATCTATTTCTTCTACTTTATTTTCTCGCTATGGAAATTTCATGTAAAAGAAAACTTAGTTCCAAAACAGAGTTAACTTCAATCTTTCTCTTTGATAAACCCTGACGTTAGATATTTAACGTACCAGAACTTCAAATCGGCGCCAAAACGACGACCTTATACTATATAATGAGTGCAAAGGTGACTTTCCGAGAAATGTTTTCTCCACCTTTGCACTGTTTTTGTGATTAGAATTATATTTTCCCTGCGTCCTCTTCATTTGGTTATTGTTGCAAGAAATCAGGCATAATAGGTTTACTTCCTCAAAGTAATCATTCGTCGACTGATGTTTAGTTGGACTTGACCTAACTGTTGACTCGCCCTCTTTCAGTAGTGGAAAAGCTGTTTTTGTTGTGCACTCTTTAAACAGCCTGATTTTATACAGTAAGTCATAGTAAAGATTCCAGAGTCGATACGGTGACTGCGAACTTGCCACCATCAAACAAATATGTAGCAGCGAAGAAAAAAATGGCTAGGCTCATTCGTTCTCGATACCACGATACGGATACTTAACATAAGGGCCAGGGTTTAACCTGCAGGACAACGGCGTGATTTACCTCTCCCAGTTTCACAGGTTTTCTCCTTCTAATTCATTTACCTAAGCAGCAAGTCACACTTCCTTTAAATATTTTCGCTCCTAGGTATGATACATAAAGGTTTCTTTCAAGCAAAACAATAATTTATTTAAATAAAAGGGGTGACACTGAGTGACTAAGGAATGGTTGTTATTTGATGAATTCAGCATGTCAGATCTGCAAGGTCAGACAAAGTAAAAATCCTACAAACAAAGTGTGCGGTGGATTTTTGTTCATCAACACGAATAATAGCCTGCGTGCAGACGATAACTAAACTCTGATTAGTTAACCAGAGTTTAATTTCGTCTGCGCGCAGGCTACTCGAATAACAACACTTACAATAAAAATGTTCAGTATCCGTGATAATTTTCTTACCGGTGCTGTTTTCTAACGGGAGTTTAATTCCGAGAAGATTTATGTCTCTACTGAGAAGTATTCAATTCAATCTATAATAATTATACGAGAACTACAATGGAGGACAAAATCCTTAGGACAATTAACACGATCTGCCTTAATTTTTCCCCCTTTCCCCCTCTCCCCTAAGCAATGTTGTAGTTTGTGCACCCCTGTACACTTTACCCTGTCCTAAAAGTGTTTCTTCCTCCCAACATTGTTTGGAGGGGGGAGGGGAGGGCCAGTCGCGGTATCCAAGTGGTTAGAGAAGTGTACATTATGCTACATCTGAACATTTGATAAGTTAAGGATGTGGAAGGAAGGTTTTCCATAACCGTTCCAAGGATTTTTGTCCTCCATTGTAGCATGCTTGTTGTTCTTTATTCAGTCGTGGACAAATACAGCCGCTGAAATATAAACTATGTATCTATGAGTCTGCATAGTTTCTCATCTCAGTATTTTAAGAAGAAATGAAAAATACTACGAAGCAAAACAAAGATCGTTCACTCAGTGACATACTGGAAGATCGAGCTCGAGCGGAAAAGGCCCGAAGGTTTCTCTCCACAAAACTACATAAATATTAACTAAGATTATAAGAGTATTACTCATGGTAATAGCAAGTTCTGGGACTAATGAAAGCTGGAGGTCGGACGAAGACCGGCAAAACTTAGATAAACATATTAGGGACTTTAAGCGTATCCAAGCATGCGATGGCAAAGAAAACTTGGCCTTAAAAAGTGAACTTGCGTTCTTTCAGTCTTCTCGCTCGCGATTATTCCTACCCACTTACTTTGCCAAATGTAGGTGAAATTGCAAGAGACCCTATCCAAGCCACACAGAGACAAAGAATTTCCTCGTCGCTTGTTTGCGTCCTGCATAAAACGTAAAATGAAGCAATTTGACGTCGAAGCCGTTCAAAAACGGCAAAGTGGACGAAAAAGCGTGATGCACTATTACGCTCTTAGACGCTCTTAGCGTTACCGTCTCGTCGTCGGATCTTAAATTCCTTATTCAACAAGTGATCATCTGAATCCGTCGCGCGCCTTTGACAACACTGATTTCTCGTGGTATACTTGTTGCAATGCAGTTTTTAAGTATGCTCAGTTTTTAGTCTAATTTCAGTTAGTGCTACTATTGGAATTGGATGTTTTGTACCTCTGTCCTAACATTAGTCTGTTATTGTTACATACAACTGAAATGACAAAGACTGAAATCTGCAGCTAAATCTGTATAGTTACCTTTTTAATGGAAAATGAAAATGCTAAGTAACAGGAAACAAAAAACTGATCTTATGTGCATTGACTGCACTGTCATAGTGGAGGCCGAGGCCTTTACAGACTGGGACCGCGGGGTCTGGTGAGTTGATGGGAGGTGTAACGACCCATTTATGTATTTGTACTTCAAGCAGCGATCTTGCACAAACTGGAATCTTTTTGAAACTGTGGTATTGGTTTTTTCCGACGTTTCTCTTTTCTTACGTGTCGATTGAATACACTCTTCTCCCCAAAATGTTCCTACCGGAATGCTAAAGTAGTTCTTATGTCGTTCAAAGGAGCGAGTAGTTTTCGTTAAACTACAACTGCGGTCTTCGTTGTTTGGTTGTCCATGACATTCCCTGTGCTCAGAATATACACTTATTGCCGGTTTACTGTAAAAAGCTTCTACTCCATGGTGGTAGGGACCGAAGGCCATGTGTGGCACGACGTAAACTCCTGGAAAATGGGGAACAGCATCATCATAATTAACCACTCTCCAACTGTTACCGACCAGCCGATCGTGCTCTAAGGCGTATTTGTAGTTTCCAACTCGAGGCATTCCAAAAGTGTACGAAATAATTTTCTCCCGAGAAGCAATATTGTAATAACTTAGCCATGCACTTGCTAAGGACGCAATTGCACCACCCAGAGAATGCCCTGTAACCCAAATTTTGTAGGATGGATTGTCAGCGACGAGAGCCTTCACTTTCGATTCCATGCTCGGCCATAATGTCTCGAACCCTCTTTTCCAGTAGGTTTGTACTTCACCCTTGCTTAAAAAAGCTTCTTTAGGGCTAAATAAAGTCTCAACAAACGCGGAAAACGCTTGACTTAGACATTCGGAGCCGCGAAAAGCAATAGCAATAACTTTCACGGTATGGGAAACAGCAACATAGCCAGAGCATTGATTATCAAAGAAATCACATTTCCCTGTTACAGTGTGCTGTATTTGAAAGTCGGCAGATGGCAGAGAGTTGTCGAGGCATTTCTGGGGATGAAGTGGATCATACGCTGCTGCGGAAAGAAGCAACATCTTTAAAGACAATTCAGGGTCATAATGGGAGAACTTCTCTCCACAGCGAGACGGATCGACAATATTCTCCGCTCTCTTACAAGGGTTTGTTAAAAACGCGCCTGGAGTATGACATTCATTGTCCCTTCTACACCATCTGCACGTGATGCCAAAAGCGTCGGTGTTAGAAGCGCAGTCTCTGCAGTTGTCGGAGTTGCAGTTGAAGAAACCAGCAACTACGTTCAGCGAGAGGAGGATGGCAAAGCAGTAAACTCGCCATGGGCTTAACGTTATCATCTTGATGATGCTAACAAATGTGTCTCCTCGGAATTCTTGGCATACAATATTTGGCTAACATGTATTATTTCACAATCTCGAATACCTTTTATGGAAAGGCGTCAACAAACGTGACACACGACAATCTTGGTTTGTTTCCAAAGTCGAAGTATGAATTAATCCCTGTCACCCAGACTGCCTATCAGGTGTCTATGATACGACACTCATTGTGACTTTTAAAGTACACATCAAAATTACTGCGAAACTAAGTAAATCTAGTACTTTATTTCAGTCTGAAGCGTGAATTGGATTTTAATTTAACATAAATCTTATTCCACCATTCAGGCCTGTAAATAATTCTTTCCAACTAAGATCCATGACTCTTCTGCGCGACTTCAGTCCAAAGGATTCCATTGACGACCTGCAGGTTATTAACTGGAATAATATTTGCAATCACACTTATATCAATCAATCTTTTTCTAGATTTTGCAGATGCGTCAAAAGAAAATTAACACCGCCTTAAGAAGCACATATCTAATCGTAAACAAAATTCCTCACTAAACCATAGCTGACCGCTAGTTCAAGAAAAGTAGAAATAACCTCTTCTATATTGACCTAAGGCTGTGATAAAAAGAAATTGTACAGAAACAAAATCATTACTCTAAAAGCGGAGCTCCTTGCGCGCGTGAAGCGCGCGCGAGCGGAGCACCATAACTAAGATAATTTGGTAAACCATCCATTAGCCTCCCACGCAGGCGTTTTTAGGGGAGCTCGTTTTTCATCCCTCCCCACAACGAGAAATTTTGGTTATGACGTCAGCGTAGGTGCGTCCGTACGGACTTTCCGGGTAGTGGAAAATAGTCCGCATGGACTCTTAGGGTAGGGGAAAAAATAGATTTTTTGGCGGGAAATCGCATGGCGCAACGTTGCGCAATTATATCACGCAACTGGTTTTGAAGAAGGAAATTTCAAAGAAACTTTAATTATAGAAAAAAGATTTTTCGACAGAGTCTTTATAACTTTTTATTACAACTTACGAAGCTATTATGTCAACAAACAACAGCAGAGAGATTTTAGCGTGTAGACGACAGGTTTTAAGCAGAGAGCAAAGAGAGGGTGAACGACAGAGAGCAAGAGTCAACACGCGTAGAGCAAGCGAAGACGATCGCCAAAGAGAGCGCCTTAGAAATAGAAGAAGAAGACATAATTTTAGCGAAGAAAGTCGGCATTTAGTAGAAAGAGTCAGGGCGAGAAGAAGGAGAGAAAATTATAGTGAAAAATGCCGGCAAGCAGACTGGAGACAGAGCTAGAATGAATAGACAAAGGCAAAAGAAATACAAAGGCAAAGAGAACGGCAGCAAAATAATGACATGATGACAGAAAGTGTTGTGTCAATGTCACTATGGCCCGCGCTATTTAAACATTTTGATTTCAAACTGATCTCGCGGACGCGAAAATTCAGCCAGTCATTTAAAAATACAAGCAGGGAAGACAGAGGCTTTTCACTTTTCTCACCATAGTCACGCGTTGATCACGCTCTACCACCGTCCAATTTTTATGCTCTGATTGGTCAAAATTTGACAGGTGAGTTCATGCAGAAAATTTATACAGCATCTTGAAACTTGTTTACTTTGACAGCTGAAGCTGACAAAGTTTTTTGTCAACTTGTGACGTTTTTTACAGTCTTTTTCCACTGGATGCAAAAAATGAAATACAGCTGCTATCAACAGTCCTCTGTTATTCATGGCTGGTTTGTTTTTTGTATTTTTGTTTGAGAAATGCACCGCTTGTCAAAGTTGGAAATCCGATTTCGGATGACATCGTTTTCGTTTTTCAAAGTCCCTCAAGCGATTCTGGCCTTACTTGATAGCTTTCAGGAGCTGCATCTCGAATGGTAAGCCTGAGTAATTACTGTATACAGTGTATGTGTTTGTTTTTTTATATCTAATTTCATGAAGTCGAGCGCAGTTTATGAGGCTAGTTTATGCACGTTTGTATTTAGGGGCGCCGTTTGTAAAAAAAATGATTTAGCTTAATTTTGTCATTTTTTTCGTTATTTATTAAATAAAGTTTTCTGATATGATATCATACGTCATTGATTTGATATAATAAATGTTGATTTCAAATCATGCGTTTATGATTTGATATAATAAATTATTATTTAAAATCATGCGTTTATGATTTGATATAATAAATTCTGATTTCAAATCATGCCTTTATGATTTGATATAATAAATTATTTTTTCAAATCATACCTTTATGATTTGATATAATAAATATTGATTTCAAATCATAAGTTTATGATTTGATATAATAAATCCTGATTTCAAATCATAAGTTTATGATTTGATATAATAAATCCTGATTTCAAGTCATAAGTTTATAATTTCATATAATAAGTTCTGATTTTAAATCATAACTTTATGATTTGATATAATAAATCATGATTTCAAATCATAAGTATATGATTTCATATAATAAAAATCATTATTTGATATCAGTAAAACCATGATTTAACTTAATAAGTAATAAGTAACCGCGTAACTTGGCACGTGGGTTACTAGCGCGGGAATAATCGCAAAGATGGCGACACAACCAGATAATCTATCGAATTCAATCGCTTCTAGGATCTCTAGAGCCGTAGAAAGGGCGGTTGACCAAGCTTTGGCATCCCTTCCGAGCCTTCCTGGCAATTCAGGTTTTGCTACTGCGACACAAGAGGTATGTAACATTGATGTATCCGGGGGGGGGTACTCCCATACATTACCTGTACGGGTATATGTGCCGCCCAACGGGGTCGTGATTTTGAAGCTCCTGATTTAGAACGGGGTATCCAGAGGCGTTTTCTAGAACGGGGTATAAAAAAAATCGTGGATCACGGCTTTATCTTCTGCTTAAAATTGTTCCTGATTATGAAGAAGCATCTATTTGATGTATAAGTCGAACAAATAAAGAAATATCTTTTAAAAAAACAGGGCTATTTCAATTTACGAACTTTCTAGAACGGAGTATCAGTTTTAAGGCGAATTCTAGAACGGGGTGTAAAAAAATTGGCCCATATCTAGAACGGGGTATCAATTTTAGGGGATATTTTTTTTAGAACGTGGTGCCAATTTGGAGTCCCGGGCGGCACATACCCACCCAAAAAATACCCAAGTGCCAAGTCACGCGGTTACTTATTACTTATTAAATTAAATCATGGTTTTACTGATATCAAATAATGATTTTTATTATATGAAATCATATACTTATGATTAGAAATCAGGATTTATTATATCAAATCATAAACTTATGATTTAAAATCAAAACTTATTGTATGAAATCATAAACTTATGATTTGAAATCAGGATTTACTATATGAAATCATAAACGAATGATTTGAAATCAGGATTTATTATATCAAATCATAAACTTATGATTTGAAATCAGGATTTATTATATCAAATCATAAACTTATGATTTGAAATCAATATTTATTATATCAAATCATAAAGGTATGATTTGAAAAAATAATTTATTATATCAAATCATAAAGGCATGATTTGAAATCAGAATTTATTATATCAAATCATAAACGCATGATTTTAAATAATAATTTATTATATCAAATCATAAACGCATGATTTGAAATCAACATTTATTATATCAAATCATTGACGTATGATATCATATCAGAAAACTTTATTTAATAAGTAACGAAAAAAATGACAAAATCAAGCTAAATCATTTTTTTTACAAACGGCGCCCCATATGTATTAAGATCTGAGACAATGGTCTGATCTAGTATGAGGTTTGATATAAGCTTACAGAGCTTTAAAAAGCCTTTAGTCGATATTTTCTCTCCGCAAATAGAAAAAAAAACGTTCCTAAGAGTATTTAGTTATAATTTTGGCTGTAGAAAGAAAGCTTTGAGCGATTTTCTTGCCTCGAGTTCATCTTTGAAAACAGTAAACTCCAGGAAGGCTTGAAGCTTAAGCTTAAAGACTCAGGATATTTAGAGATGCTTTAATACTTGTCTTCGTGAATGAAAATTGTTGTTTCTGTAAATGTTTCACCGAATTACATTTCTTTTATTGATTGTTAGTAGGCCCTTGCAATTTAAATCGCGTTGCCGTTTGTTTTCAGTCGTTCATAAACATCGTTTGCAGGAGTACTCAAAATGCTGCGCGTATCAAACGCTTTTTAAGATTACACATCCTTATAAAACCATTAAATAATAATTAAAAAAACACAATAAATTCTTCATTATGTTGAAGCGTAACTCTTTTAGTGTTCACTGAAAGTTTGGCGCTTGTCAAAAGTGAGAACCGGCTGGCTGTAAAGGTGATTTTGGAAATTTTTTGAACGGTTTTGCTAAAAGCCCACGCGTGCTTCATACGGTTCTGAATATTGAATGAGTGCAATTTGTCTTGAAAAATTGTGAAATACTGCATTTTGAGGTCTGTATGATAAAAACAGCGCCTCATATTACTGTTTCACCTCAGATGTGATGTATAAAAAGTATGAAATCTATATATTACGCTTAAAAAGAGGTTTGAAATTCACAAAAAAGAAGCACGAAACAAGAATACGATTTCGGGCAGGCAGGGGGCGGGATATACACAGGAGCAGCTGCAAAACAACTTTCAAAGCAATCTCACTTCCTGAGGCCACGATACCTTTGTTCAGCGAATGGGTCCCGTTTGCCATATAAGGTCATGCACCCTGTAACTTTGGAGCGAAAAATATTTAACTTTTTAAATTGAGTCCGATCCCAGTCCTATGAATGCTATATTGCTATTCTACTGCTTCGCGTGCGCATGAAACGGTCGAAAATGTTAGAGACACGTCACGTCACGTCCGTGACAAATCAGTTGATCAGCGACATCAGGCGTTTTGAAAAATTTTTGGTGTGGACTATCCTTTGAGTCCCAGCGATAGATGTTCATTGCCATTTCTTAAGAAAATCCTCTATAAGTAGTCTTGTTTTTTAATACAGTGGAACCCACGTGGTCCTCCTTGATGTCCACGCTGAACTCCAGACTGATTTCCTTTGTTTCTTTTGATGATCGATTTCTTAATTGCTTGAATATGTATTGAAATGAAGCTGAGGTGAACTGTACAGTACCGCAACTGATCCCCGACCGAAAATGAACTCCAAAATGGACCGTAAATGATCCCCGAATGCCGGAAGTGCATTACCAATCCAAAAAATGAATTAAAGTAACAACATTTGAAGAAACGAAAGTTCTTCTCAGTCTCCGAACAAGAGAACATAGCCCCGAACTGTTATGATAGCTAGGGGTTATTGGTCCGGTACAACCTAAATATGCATTCTATTAACGATACATACAGGATTCTTCAATAGCTTTCAAAGCTACAATGACATGCGCAATACTTAATTTCATTTAATCTATTTACGGCATCGTCTTTCGCCTTACTTCGTTAGCGGCTTTTGTTTGATAGTGGATAAGGTTGCCAAAGATCTACATTCATGTAGAGTGCAGTAGGCTAGCCTCCCTCAAAACACAATATGTATATATATACATGCTGCTCAGGGGTTTTGCTGTTGATCATTTTAGTAAAACGTTTGCTACACTGACCCTCTTATCGGGAGCTTCAAGACACAAGCTAAGAATGCTATGACGTACACGGATATTGTCGATAACTGTCGTGTGTCATATTTTACAGTCCAATAAACGCTCTAAAACAAGTAATTTCTATTCAACCACTTCTACTTAGTCGAACTTATGAAGAAATACGCGCATTTTGAAAATATCTGGCATGCAAAGGTTGTGTTTATCGGGTAGAAGTATGTTTACGTTAATGCGTATTTCCGCGAAACGGTTGTGAGCCATTGAGACGCGAGAACCTTATTTATACCTTGTAGCCTATCCTACACGCTAACCTTTGTTCTGCAGTCAGGATATAAGCATTACACGTACAATTTTTCCTTATATCAAGGAATGCACGATAATACAGATAATGTTGTAAAGTGCAGCAACAATGAACACTGTAAGCAAGAAACGTGACGTGCCTTTCGCCTTATCCATTATTTTGAACGCTGCCGGATGAAAGACTTGTAATTTGAATTTGCCCGACTGCATCACTTGAAGACCAATCTCCTCATTGTCCGTGGAAATACCAATTCCTCTCAATTCCTCTACGGTAACCTCCCATAAGGCGTTGAGCGTCGGAAGGTTGTCCACAGTCTTTTGCTTCATGACGATGGGTAGCGACCTGCGGTTCACAACCTCATTTTGGCAATACGTTGCAAGAAATGGTACATCAAAAATCAAGCCAATTATTGCAGCAGTTAGATTAGCAGCTCCACCCATGCTACAGAGAAATCCCACTGCAGCAAACCATAATGGCGCCACACAATAAACTGGTAGCGTTTCATATGGATAGAATGGATTACTTTCCTGGATGAAGATGTTTGTGTATCGATGGACGTTTGTTCGACGAACATCAAACATAGTGCCATAATTTTCAATTTGCACATTTCTCTCACGTTGAATCTCTGCTCTTGTTATAGGCATTCTATATTTTTGTAATTGGCAAACCTGCAGGTGATAAAATTTGTAGGAGAACCAAACACAAGACACTGTGGAACGCTCAAGTGTTGCTGTGTCAACGCAATAGGCTTTTCCCCGAAATAGGCCTTTTGGCCGCGTGATCAACTGGGTGGCAAAAGTTGTTTTCTCATACAAATCCTCCTAATTTTCGACGGCCGTTGCAATAGCTACTTTTGAGATATACCGCTGAAAATTTACAGGTTAACTAATTTTAATATGCTCTTTCAGTTCGTGCTAACAACTTTTCCTAAAGTGAGTTGTTTTTGTGTTCACAGAAAGTTAATCACATCATCAACTAATGCAAAAGGCCTGTTACCTTAGTCATATGATACGAATTTTTGGCCTCAAGGACTTCTTCCAAGAAAAATCTGCCAGCTGCGGATGATTGTCTTCTCTCTCCTCTAAAAAGAAATGAAAAAAAGCATGAATTGCTAAGTAGGTGACATGATTCAGTCACTGTCCTTTACAAGTCTCGAGGTACTGGGAATTGTCTGTCCTCGGCACTAATTTGAGCGCCACAGAGAGACTTGCGGGATGACTTCAACGAGGGTTGGATTTGAATTTACAATTTAATTTAGTTGTACGAGCTACTGCATCTATTTCTTCTACTTTATTTTCTCGCTTTGGAAATTTCATGTAAAAGAAAACTTAGTTCCAAAACCAAGTTAACTTCAATCTTTCTCTTTGATAAACCTTGACGTTAGATTTTTTACCTACCAGAACTTCAAATCGGCGCCAAAAAGACGACCTTACTATTGAGTGCAAAGGTGACTTTCCGAGAACTGTTTTCTCCACCTTTACACTGTTTTTATGATTAGAATTATATTTTCCCTGTTTTCTCTTCATTTGGTTATTGTTGGAAGAAATCAAACATTAGCATAATAGGTTTACTTTCTCAAACTAATCATTCGTCGACTGATGTTTAGTTAGACTATCAGTAGCGGAAAATCTGTTTTTGTTGTGCATTCTTTAAACAGCCTGATTTTATACAGTAAGTCATAGTAAAGATTCCAGAGTCGATACGGTGGCTAGGAACTTCCCACCATCATTTCAAATATCCAGCAGCGAAGAAAAAAATGGAGGCTAGGCTCATTCTTTCTCGATACCACGATACGGATACTTAAGAGCCAGGGTTTAACCTGGAGGACAACGGCGACGGTGATTCTCCCAGTTTCACAGGTTTTCTCTTTCTGATTTATTTACTCCTTTAAATACTATTGCTCCTAAGTATGATACATCAAGGTTTCTTTCAAGCAAAGTAATAATCGATTTGAATAAAAGGAGTGAAACGACAGTTACACTTGGGGCTAAGGAATGCTTGTTACTGATGTGATGATTTCAGCACGTCATATCCACAAGGTCAGATCAGGGACAATCTAAAAGTCCTACAAACAAAGTGTGCTATGGATTTTTGCTCATCCACACGGATAATAACACGTACAATAAAAATGTTCATTATCCGTGATAATTTTCTTACAGTATACTGTTTTCTAACGGGAGTTTAAGTTCCGAGATGTTTAATGTCTCTACTGAGAAGTATTCACTTCTATAATAATACGAGAACTAGCATGATTGCTGTTCATTATTCGTGGACAAATACAGCCGCTGAAATATAAACTATGTATCTGTGAGTCTGCATAGTTTCTCATCTCAGTATTTTAAGTAGAAATGAAAAATACTACGAAGCAAAACAATGATCGTTCACGTATTGACATACTGGAAGATCGAGCTTGAGCGGAAGAGGACCGAATTGTTCTCCACAAAACTACATAAATATTAACTAAGATTATAAGAGTATAATTACTCATGGTAATAGCAAGTTTTGGGACTAACGAAAGCTTGAGGTCGGACGAAGACAAAACTTAGACAAACAAACAGCTGTATTAGGGACTTTAAGATCCAAGGACGCGATGGCAAAGAAAACGTGGCTTAAAAGTGAATATGCGTTCTTTCAGTCTTACTCGCGATTATTCCTACACTTGTCAAATGTGGGTGAAATTTCAAGAGACCATATCCAAGCCAGAAAGAGACATATAAAATTTCGTCGTCGCCTGTTTACGTCCTCCATAAAACGTAAAATTAAGCAATTTCACTTCGAAGTCGAGCAAAAACAGCAAAGTGGACGAAGAAGTGTGATGCACTATAATAGGTTATTTCTTATGCTCTGAGCGTTACCGTTACGTCGTCGGATCTTAAATTCCTTATTGCTGTAAGCTGTGGATCCTCAGTGCTCATCTGGGTCCGTCGCGTACCTTTGACAACACTCATTACTCGTGGTATATTTAATTGTTACGAATGTAGTTTTTAAGCATGCTCAGCTTTTGGTCTTATTTCAGTCAGTAAAGCCAGTGCCGTGGAATTGGATGTTTTATATCTCTGTCCTAGCATTAATCTCTGACTGTTACATACTTTTACAACTTACATGATTTAGACTAAATCCGCAACTAAATCTCACAGTATAGTTACCTGTTTAATCGAAAATGAAAATGTTAAGAAACAGAAAACAAAACACTGATCTTATGTGCATTGACTGCACCGTTCGAGTGGAGGAGTCTTTTACAGACTGGAACCGCGGGGTCTGGTGAGTTGCTGTGACGTGTAACGACCCATTTATGTACTTGTTCTTCAAGCAGCGATTTTGCACAAAATGGAATCTTTTTGACACTGTGGTATTGGTTTCTTCCGACGTTTCTCGTTTCTTACGTGTCGAGTGAACACAGTCTAATGCCCAGAATGTCCCCACGGGAATGCCGAAGTAATTCTTATGTCGTTCGAAGGAGCGAGTTATTTCCGAGAAACTGCAAGTGACGTCCTCGTTGTTTGGCTTTCCGTGACATTCCCTGTGCTCAGAATACACACTTGTTGCCGGCTCGCTATAAAAAGCTTCTACTCCATGGTGGTAGGGACCGAAGAGCATGTTTGGCACGCCGTAAACTCCTGGAAAATGGGGAACAGCGTCATCATCATTAACCACTCTCCAACTGTTGCCAATCAGCCGATCGTGTTCTAAGGCGTAGTCGTAGTTTCCAACTCGAGGCATTCCAAAAGTGTACGAAATGATTTTCTCCCGAGAAGCAATATTTTGATAACTTAGCCATGCACTTGCTAAGGACGCCATTGCACCACCCAGAGAATGCCCTGTAACCCAAATTTTGTAGGATGGATTGTCAGCGATGAGAGACTTCACTTTTGATTCCATGCTCGGCCATAATGTCTCGAACCCTCCTTTCCAGTAGGTTTGTACCTTACCCTTGCTTAAAAAATCTTCTTTAGGGCTAAATAAAGTCTCAACAAACACAGAAAATGCTTGATCGAAACATTCAGAGCCGCGAAAAGCAATGGCAATAACTTTCACGGTATGGGAAACAGCAACATAGCCGGAGCACTGGTTATCAGCACATTTCCTTGTTACACTATGCTGTATTTGAAAGTCGGCAGATGGCAGAGAGTTGTCGAGACATTTCTGGGGATGAAGTGGATCATACGCTGCTGCAGAAAGAAACAACATCTTTAAAGACAATCCAGGGTCATAATGGGAGAACTTCTCTCCACAGCGAGAGGGATCGACGATATTTTCTGCTGTCTTACAAGGGTTTGTTAAAAACGCGCCTGGAGTATGACATTCATTGTCCCTTCTACACCATCTGCACGTGATGCCAAAAGCGTCGGTATTAGAAGCGCAGTCTCTGCAGTTGTCGGAGTTGCAGTTGAAACCAACGACTTCGTTCAGCTGGAGGAGGATGGTAAAGCAGTAAACTGCGCTTAACGTTATCATCTTGATGATGCTTAAAAATGGCTCTCATCGGAATTCTTGGCATACAATATTTGGCTAACATGTATTATTTTGCAATCTCGAATACCTTTTATGGAAAAACGTCAACACACGTGACACACGACAATCTTGGTTTGTTTCTAAGAATTATCAGAAATCGAAGTATGAATTAATCCCTGTCACCCAGACTGTCTATCAGGCGCGTATAATACGACGCTTTAATATTGAGAGTTTTAAAGTACACATAAAAATTACTGCGAATGGGATTTTATTTCAGTTGGCAGCCCGGTTTCCATTACGTTCCTTCTTTCCTATTTAACATAAATCTTATTCCACCATTCAGGTCTGTAAATAATTCTTCCCAACTAAGAAATTCAGCATCCATGACTATTTGGAGCGACTTCAGTCTAAAGGATTTCATTGACGACCTGCAGGCTATTAACTGGGATAATATTTGCAATCATACTTAATATGTCAATCAATCGTTCTCTAGATTTTACAAATGCGTCAACAAGCAACTAACACCGTCTTAAGAATTATTTCCCATCGTAAACAAAATTCCTCGGTAAACCATGGCTGACTGCTAGTTTCAAAAAAGTAGAAATAACCTCTTCTATATTGACCTCAGGCAATGATAAATAGAAATTGAACAGAAAGAAAATCATTACTCTTAAACGCTTAAAAAGAGGTCTGAAATTCACAGAAGAGACACGCGAAACAAGAATAAGATTGACATTCCAGTGTACAGAAATGCGACAGGCCAAAGGACCTGGAGGTAGCTACTCTAGGCCGATAAGTCACAATTATTACTTTATACAGAATGCTGTATATTTTTAGACCAATTTAGGTCATGAACCTGATGAAGGAATAGAACAATAACCATTGATTTGAGCATTTATAAACTTTATCAAGTTGATCTTAAAGCGAGGAAGATAGAACGCACATACTCTGCATTCTTTACAGCCTATTTTTAGCGTTGTCACGATCTTAAGAGACCTGACTGTTGTACCCAATTGAAAGCTCCCGGGGTTAAGATTCTTTGTGTATTGTATTTGCGTTATAATGTGGCATTCACATTTAAATGATATGGAAATTCCTAAAACATAAAGGGTTTGATAAGGGTCCTAACTGGTGAAGGGACAACAGTAAACGTTTTAAGCCATAACTGGTTGTCGATGATCGACCTCATAATAAACTTGTTAGCAGCAGCCTTTTGGCGAAACTTGACATCATAAACACACCAGCCTACGCCCCTGTGATATTTAGCTGCATAGCGAATTAATGACAGGTATTCTAGCAATTCTGCAGCACGACTTGGGTGCTTGCTAATAATAACACTCATATAAGCTGCAAACGTCGAGGTCCATTCCTCTATGTTAGTTATTGAAGTGGCCTTGGCCTTATTTACCCTAATAACAGAGTTCTCAAGAGTCTGATTGAGAGGCTTGTCATGGAGAGCCTGTAGCGAATTAAAGTTCTTCGGTAACAATTTGGAAAGTTCCATAAACACACCCGAGAGGATTTCCTTCACAAGCTTGGGTGGGAGTTCGTGTGCTGAATCCAAAGTCTGCTGGGATGCAGAGGAAATACTTTTGATATCATTCCAGCCTGCGCCATCAACAGCAGTAGAATTTAGGGTTTCTTAACTTGGACCGCAGAAGGAACATTGCCCTCACTCGACGCGTATCTGTCATGGGCAGCAGCTTGAGAAGACGACGAAGAACCAGTGGAGGCGTTCACTGCAGCTTAGGAAGCTGCGGCTGCTGTCTGTTCGATCGTCTCGTTGATGGTTGCTTAAACCAAGGACTTAACTGAGTCAACTGGTTCACGAAGAGCATTCTTTCGTCATAAGAGCTGCGGTTCAGCAGGTCCTGGACTTTTTGTTGTAACTGCTGAAATTGTTGCCGGAGTTCTATGTTGTTGCCGCCATTTTGAAAAGGGCGTGGGGCGCCAATAGGTTGAGCATTTCGCCGGGCTTCTCTTACTTTTTTGAGCCGTTTGACGAGCGGGAGCGCGTTCCGGAGGTAGGAAGGCTTATTTGACTGCACAAAGTACGAAGGACTTCCACATACAGGCTATCCAGGTCAAAGTCAGCTGGGATGTTGACCGGTTCCCCAGTCGCTAAACGTCGTGTCCGCCCGGAAGGTGGCGTTAGAACGTCTAACTGAAGCTGTTCGAGCCTCTCCTGCAAAATAAAAAGACTGGGATCTCCAAGGTGAGAGGCGAGAACTAATCCGCAACGCCTCAATAGAACTGAAAAGAAAAGTACGCCATGCCACATCAGAATTTGAAAAGAAGGTTTCAAGATGTGCTTGGTAGTGACGAAGCACATGGGAATGCAAGCTATTGAACATGGCAGAGTGCCATGTGATTGGTCAAATAAACAATGAAGAGTTCATAGCGGTCAGTTCACATGAGGTTGCTCGTGAAAATCAGAGGACATAGGACAAAGTTCAAACAAAAGTTATTGATCATTAACTAAAATTTATTTCCGGTGATCAATAAATTATTCCAGTATTTAAGGATAAAGATGACACATAGCCTGCGTAGCTGGCGGTATTGTGTGGGTGCGAGATTAAAGTTTTGGCGGCGGAGCCGTGACGGCTCCGCCATCAAATCTCACTCGACTACTACACAGTACCGCCAGCTACGCAGGCTAGATGACACACTGCATGAAAAGGTTGTTGAGTTCATCGCTATTCATCTTAACCCGTGAAAGGAATGAAAGATAAAGATGATGTGAACTGCGGAAAGACAATTTTTTGGGGGGTTTATTTGCAATTGCGTAAATTGCATTTACCATTGTGATGATCATATCATCATTTAAAATTTGTATTTCCTCAGTTCACAACATCTTCATGTTTCATTCCTCGCACTCGTTAAGATGAACTCAACAAACTGGCATGCTCCCAATGTATGGGGTCTTCCTTCATTGCTCAAATGATAGAGTACTGCAGCGCAAACGCAGAGACCATGGGTTCGAATCCCGTTGAAGCCCCGAAATTTTTTGCTTAAATTGCATTTACCACTGCGATGGTCATATCTTAATTCAAATTTTGTAATTCCGCAACTCACATCACCTTCAGGCTTTTAGCACAGTTAACTATGAGATTCTGTTAGCTAGACTTGAAAATTACTTTATTAGTGGAGTAAGCAACTCTGCTTTAGGTCACACCTAACTGACAGAAAACAACCTACCAAAGTCAATACCAACGTGACTGTCTAAGGCTGAAAACGACCTTGCGCCACTCACTCACTCTTATTCCTACTTTACATAAATGTTATCTGACAAGTCCTCGTCACTGCTTTCCTTTTATCTATTTGCTCACGATATCAATTCAATTCAATTCAATTCTTTATTCACACTATACAAGATATTTTACATAAGTGTACATAGTAGGAAAATAAAGTAGCTACAAATAATAATTAACTAAAAGATATTCTTGAATTCCCCGCACCCAAAAAACTGACAACCAGAAATGCGGTGCGGGATAAGCAGACAATTCTTAGCCCATTTATTGAACTAACCAACTAATCACAAAACAAAAACAACTGTTTCCACTGTTTAGACACCAAAAAATCAAACAAACTGTATACGTTTGATCCGGCCAAAGTAAATGAAAAAACAAAACCACTTATAATAACTGTCAATCATCAGGAAAACACAACTAAAATCGTTACGAGGAAATGGATTACAGGATTTCAATCGAAATATGCAAAAGAACAAAATTTAACTGTCCGCTTGTAAAAATCCACAATGAAACTTGTTTACTGTTCAGCGAATATATACTTGCTACTTTACATATCACACCTTCTTCTCATAATCTCATGCCGGCACTTAAAACACACTGCCGACGAATGCACCTGTGCTTGGGAATTCAAGAAACCATTTATCTTTTGTTTCATTACGCTTCGCTGCATTCAGGCAAAGATAAATGAACAATTCTTGAATTCCCCGCACCCAAAAAACTGACAACCAGAAATGCGGTGCGGGATAAGCAGACAACTCACAATCAGCGGCAAAAGCATATAAGGATACAAAAAAAGGCAATGTTCATTAAGCAAACGTATTTACTGTATAATAAATAGCTAATCGCTTGTATACCATAAGGGTACTGTCCAAAAATCCTCAAGCATATCCACCTGCGGCAAGGATACTATGTCGTCAAGCAACGTTAAGCCATCAGAATTAATTGGGCAAACGTAAATCTCTACATACTGCTGCATACAACACAACTCGCGCAATGTTTATCAAGCAAATCACAAACTGAAAATTAAAGAGCCAAATTTCTAGATACCACAAGGGTATTTTCCAAAGATTCATCGACATAACCATCTGCGGCTTGGATACTGCGCCAACCACCATGTCTACGCCATACTCTCCCAGAAACTCCGCTGCGTGCTGCTTGGGAAGCACCACCTGAACGAAGGCTATGTAAACCAAATTCGTTTGAGTCTAAATCAAGTTCGGAAATCATTTGACGAAACTGTTCCCGTGCCCGAGAATATGACAGAGCAGCTTGTCGGAGCTTGTACCCGGCACCCAATTTCTGGCAGAGACAAAATAATGACTGAGATGGTTGATGCTCTCCGCGCTCAAGGAATAACTCTAACAGTGTCACTGGACAAGAGCTGGAAGGTAAACGAGCAACTTTAACCACAGATCCCTGACGGAATTGATCGTTCTTACGCCTGTCTAGGAAACAGACATGTGGGTGGCGCAAAACCTTAAGTCACAGGCACGTAAGTCACGCAGCTCTGACCAACGTAGGAAAGCACAAAAACCAAGCGCAACCAGCAACACCATTTGTAAGTTCGGTAGAGAAGCACGGGGGTGACCATAGGAACGAATCAGCGCCCTGACGTGATGAGATTCAATAGGCTGCTTTTTCCTAGATGGACCAGCCAGGAGGCGTTTAAAGCCAGCCAAGGTCTGAGAAACGAGCGGATCGTCGACAGGATTAGGACATCCAAGTTTCTTATGTAGCCATGCAATGCCATAAGCTGCTCCAAGGATTGACGAGCGAGATAAGCCTCGGTCTGAAAGACTTGTTAAGTAGAGAGCAACTGCGGTTGGGTTAGACTGTAAAGGAGGAAACGAGTAACACTTGCACCAGTCAATCCATCGATTGGCTGCCCCTGCATACGAAGACACGGTTGAAGCGGCACAGTCATTAAGGATGACAGTCTTTAACAGTTCTACAAGCCTCTGAATCTCCGCGTTGCTCCGTTGGTAAGGCGACAAGCCTAAAGTGAAAATCAACAATGTCCAAAACATGGCACTTTAAAGACAGGAACAACATCCAATTGCCACAGAACACTAAACGCGCAAGACACACATCGTCTGCAACGAGAACTGCCCACATGGCAAGTTAACACAGCACCAGTACACACTCCAGCACAAGGAGGCTTGGCCCACTCGGCGTCAACTGGTAAGCAAATCCACACAAAGGATAGAGGAGTCCACTTGACTCTAAAAACGAACACACTACTGTGTCGGCAGTGCCCTGTCGGCTTGCTTCAGCTGCACAACTCGTGCGTACTAGTACAGTTCCAAGTCCACTGACTCGCAAAGAGCAAAGGCCCACACCTAGGCCAAAAAGGCTCAGATAGAACAAAAACAAATAATTAGGATGAACAACTCGTTCAAGGTACTCATCTAATACCCGAAAAACGTTCTACAGCAAAACTAAGGAAACACAATTCTCAAAGCAAATACCCTACACGAGGGAATACCATGCCCGAAAAGATCCGCGGCTGCGGAACCAGGGAGAAAAGTAGATTCATGTAAAGGAATCTCCCGCCAGTCAAGAACAAAAAGGGTGGAAACCCCGGGGCTTCGAGACACCAACGGCCACCAATGAGCAGATTGCCAAAAGGGGATAATGAGAGTGCCCTGCTCTCTACCCAGTTTCATGTGATTGATAACCCTGGGAATAAGGAACACTGGGGGGACCAACCAATTGTTTTCCCCTCCCCAGCTGACGGTAAAAGCATCAACAGTTTCGGTCCCAGGACACCACCATCGAGAACAAAACCTGGGCAACTGGAAAGAATTATGACTCGCAAAACGATCTACAGTGTGGGGTCCCCACAGAATATCCAACTGGCGAAAATGGACAGGGTTGAGCATCCAATCATCGGTGTCGACAACTTTCGACCAATAATCAGCTTTGAAATTAAAGTGGCGAGGTATCCACTCCGCAGAAAAGCGAATACCGGCTTCATGGCACAAATTGTAAATGGCAACCGCTTCTTTTTGCAAATGAGGCTTACTACTGCCGACGGACAAAATACTGCAGACGCTCTGATTGTCAGATCTATGCTTGCACTCCTTACCCGCCAAAAGACCGGAAAACGACTGAAGAACAAATCTAATTGCACGAATCTCGCGGAAAGAAGAGCTGCATAGGGCCTCGGAACCCAACCAGTTCCCTCTAGCGATGTGCGTACCAAATGAACAATAAATCCCGCCCAACCCACATTGCTGGCATCCGAATAAGACAAAAGCTCTATCTTCGGGGAGGGCCTCCAGATTGGTTTGCCGCACAAACGAAAGAAATTATCTCTCCAAAAATTAAGTTCCTCTACAGCTTCACGCGTTAAAGCCACCTTGCAGCTAAGGCTATGAACGCTATGAAGGACTGCGTACAAGGCTCGGGTGCGCAAACGCACAATTGGACCTAAAGCGAGCTCCATGGAAATAAGGGTACCCGTAATACGAGACACATCCCTAGCCGTGGGTGAAACATCGTCAAGAAGCAGTGAAATCAGAATAAACAGGTGATCAATCTTGCCTGGTGGGATACTAAATTCTCCTTTGGCAAGGTCCAAAATAAAGCCTAAGTGCTCCCCTTTTTGGCGCGGTTCAAAATTGCTCTTCTCCTCATTCACTAGCAGGCCAAGGCGATCAAGATCGCCTCGCACTAGTTGCGCTTCCTGAGAACACGAATCTTTACTTGAATCGGTGCCGATACCGTCGTCCAAATAGACGGAAATCCTAATGCCTTGTGACCGCCAGTGTGAAACAACTGGTCTTAACAATTTGGTGAAAACGTAAGGAGACGTACTTAAACCAAAAGGAAGCGAACAAAACAAAAAATAGCGTGGCTTACCATCGAAAGTAAACGAAAAAGCCAAATACTTCCAATGCTCTTGAAAAATGTCAACATGATGGTAGCCATTACGAAGATCGAAAGTAAAAAACCAATCACCTGGCTGAAGAATTTCCGCCACGACTCGAAGGTCTTCGAACTTAAACTTACGCTTGGCTAGGTGCTTGTTAAGAAAGCGAAGGTCGAGAATCAATCGAAGTTTGCCATTCTTTTTAGGAACTACACCTAAAGGACTGCAAACATGAACTTGGTCACGCTTGACTTCCACCGCGCTACCCGCCAACAACAATTGCTCGATAGCTTCACAAACAAAAGCTCTATTATCAACAGCGCTTTTATGATTACTAAAGAAATACCTCAATGGAAATGAAACAAATGGTAACTTATAACCGCTTTCAATAACACTAAGAACAAAAGAAGAGGCCCCAATAGAACGCCAAACATGCAAAAACTTCCGCAAGCGGCCTCGAATCCAAAATACTGAGGAAACGCCCGTGTCAAGTTCAGCCTCGCCGCGATCCGAAAATTCGTCAAAATCAGAGTCAGCTAGTCACTTAGCGGAAGAGGAAACTTTACAATCCTTGATAAAATGGCCTGCCTTGCCACAACCAAAGCAGCGATAAACAGAAGCTTTTTTCTCCGGTACAGGATTAACCAAAAGCTGACCGACATCTGGTCGGAAATCGACGATTCTATGTGATGGGCCAAAATTAGCACTGGGGCCGCTTTTGGAAGATGTAGACTGAGACTTAAAACGAGTTCCCATTTTGCTTCTCAGACTATTTTTTCGATTTCGTTTCTCCCGAGACCTCTCTGCTTCCTTGCGCGCGACACGAAGTTTCTTTTCTTCTTCGTCATTTTTAGTGAGTGGGTCCGCCTCAAAATATTCTACCACGTCCCAGCCATCCCGGTCAGCAATAGAAATAAGCTTATTTCTGTTATCAAGGAGTGACATACCTTCGTTGGCAATCTTAGTGATGGCGTCATCCGCCCCAGCCCTCTCTAAAATCTGGTTGAACTTATCCTTGACGTCAGTGTTGAACTTGAACTGTTTCTTGTTACTCTTATATTTGAACTCGGGCTCCTCCTCCGCAGACTTGCGTTTTAATGAGTCGAGCTGTTCTTTGACAACCTTGACCTCTTGCGTTTTCGTCTCCAAGGCCTTTAAGATTTCCTTCGCCCACGTTGGGGGCTCAGGGCTGCGAGAAGCCGAGCGACTTCTACGGTGCGAACGCTCGCGGACACTCCTTCGCGAAGGCGAAGCACTACGACCAGAACCGCTTGAAGCTGCAACATGTGAGCGAGAACTACGACGGCCTGAACTTCGATGTTCTCTTGACCTGGACGGCCGGACAACAGGGTCTTCAACGTCCGCGTTGACTCTCGAAACATGAGAACGAACTGAAGCAGGGCGACCACGACGGCCCCGCGCCATATGAACGAGATAGGAAGAACGAGCTAAGAATTTAACTGTCCGCTTGTAAAAATCCACAATGAAACTTGTTTACTGTTCAGCGAATATATACTTGCTACTTTACATATCACACCTTCTTCTCATAATCTCATGCCGGCACTTAAAACACACTGCCGACGAATGCACCTGTACTTGGGAATTCAAGAAACCATTTATCTTTTGTTTCATTACGCTTCGCTGCATTCAGGCAAAGATAAATGAACAATTAAGTTCATTTGTGTACGGTGTCCAAAGTAGCAAGAGCTTTCTTGTTGGACACCGTCATATTGAAATAATTGGCAGTAGTAAGGAGAGGAATAAAATCTCAAATAATATCAGTGATAAAACATATGAGCAAGGTCAGATTTGGTTGGTTAGAAGACAGGACTTCCATTCTCTCTTAAACTTATGATATGGCGGGAACTTGACACAGTATAATCAGATTTGAAAATAATCTGGAGAAGCTCGAATAGCTTGTTAATCGGCAGCTTGCCAACGTCAACGAATGACTAAAGGCCAATAAATTAACTCTGAACACAAAAAATCATATTTTGTAATCTTTCGCCGGCGGCAAAAGAAAATGTCCCTCATCTCTAGGATAAGGATTCTTGACTCCGCGACTGTACTATCGCCCACGCAAATCTTGAAATAAAAATTATGTTAAATATCTTGATGTAATGATTGATTCCGGTCTTTCATGGTTTTCATGATTTCCTCGAGAGATTAATTCACGCTTTTGTAGCAAAAAGTTTCCAGCCGCCGCGTTGGTGTCCATCCGGATGGGCACCAGCATCGCGTCTCCATACAAAGCTCTATAAAGACCTATAAATTTGGGAAAATGATTTCTCTGAATATCTCGCATATGCCGGAAAATTGTACTGAGCTCAATCCTGGTGACGGTCTTTGAATATTTACCTCCTATTCATTTACATTACAGATTCTGGACTTTTATATTGAACCGTTTTGATTTTTCATTTTTTAATGGCGTGACATTGAAAAACGGCAAGTAGTGATTTGTATCGTCACAATCGTGTAAAAAAACAAATTCAGATATCCGAGCCGAGATCCATGGGCCGTGACTTTTTTCTCGTGGTTGATTTAAGCGGCGGATCAAGCCGCGTTTAAGGGCCTGTTTACATGGAGTTGGGGGACCCCGGTCTAGTGGGGTTGGTTTCTTTTGTTTTCACGCTCTGGGAGGCACAAAACATAAGAAACTTACCCCACTAGACCGGGTCCCCCACTCCATGTAAACAGGGCCTAAGGTGTATGCGCCTCATAAGGTTTTCTCATTCTGACTTCATCTAAATTAAATGAAACCAACAAAGCTGGGAACAAGATTGAACATGGTTCTAATCTGAATGTCTCTTTCGCACCGTCAATTACTCACTGAGAAGACTAAGGGCATTGTAAGTTCCCTTACTGTTCCTTGGATGCCTTCCGTGCATCGAGTTGATTTTTCCACCTAATGTTTCAACAAGCAATACATTAAACATTCTCGAAGTTTCGACGATATTGTAATTGTTCCCTACGTACGCGGTGGTTTCTGAAGTATCTTTACGTACGAACCTTCACGAATAGAAGGAATCATGCAACGAAACTTGCGTCAAGGTTCACCATATTATCACAGATCGAACAAGTCCTTCCTTGTGAGAATGGAACTCTTGGCATTTTCTGTCAACTGGTTGAAAACAAAGAAAGCCTTCGATTTCCCGATACTGAACGAGCAACAGTGTGACAGTCAGTTATATCAGACCCCGAAGATCTCCGAGTAAACCACGAAAACCGCCGAAGTACAGATTGTGATTTAGTCTCTTCTAATTTTTCGTCCTCCTTGTGCAAAATAGCTTCCGCAGCACTCTTGAACACTGTATACACATTCCACCGCGTTTTGGCACAGCACTCGACATAATCACGAGCCATTATTGACTGCGCCACAGAGACAGCCTATAAACAAAAGGGAAAGCTGTTAAACAAGATTGAATCAAGAGTAAACGCAGAAGAAAAATCACTGTTTAACTTGGAGAGTGTACGGAGAGATTTTCCATGAATTCTTTATTTGCCCGAATATCATATATAGCTTTCAAATATTAGCTTTGACGTTGTTCTTAGTCATTCATACTGAGATACTGAATTTGCATAAAGAGGTCTTAGCCCCGCAAAAAGGCTGGTGCCATTTTACTTTCCTTTGTTTCATTTGTTTGTGTTCACTAAGTAATAATCATAGAAAAGCCAACAGTTTTCCTTAACAAACAAAAGTAATTGCTCGTTCTCATTTCAATTATATGCATTTTACGTCAATGTTGACTCTTGAAAGAATACTTAATTTCTTAATAATGGTTTATTTGACTTCAGTCTATTTTTCGTGATTTAACTACCAATTGCAACTTAGTTATATTTATTTGCAAAAATATATTTCATTAAGTTGTTAGTTAAAGAGAGGTGATAACCGAATTTTGAATATGAAAGGTTTTGCTGTCTTGTAATTTTAAAAAATAGATCGGATTTTGTTTAAGGTGAAAACTTCCAATTAGTCTGCGCTTTTCCTGTTTAAACAGCCGATAGCTGAACTTGCATAAACGCTGTTTTGCTGACCTGGCTAGGTCTTTGTCTCAGTACTTTTACTTTCTAAAATAGCAACAGTAACAAAAGATTTCAGGTTAAAAATAGAATTTGTATTTAGTTTTCATTTAACTCTAAGTGATTTCTGTTTATATTTCTATTGTATTCTTTTGTCTTCAATGGTTGTAAAAATCATATATAAGTAAGTTAGCTTTTACTGATTTTTCGATTACATCGCCGATTACATCGCCGATTATTTCGCCGTGTCCTTGCCGAGTTGTTGCTTTTTGATGCGCTGAAGAGTAAACGCTGTTGGAACCAAGTTTAGTTCTGTTTTATCTACTGCTGTACCAGTTAGTGGTCAGATTCCGGTCCTACGGAGAAGTGACGGCTCTTCCCCGCAAGCGAGCTGCCATTTGAGTCTAGTTTTCCCCAGTTTTATCGTGAGTCAAGCACCGAGTTCCCGTTGAGCCTTAAATTCGTTTCAAGGTGGAAAAACCGTCCGTCACAAGAGAGAATAAATTATAAAAATCTACAATATACTAATTAACAGACTGGAGGACACTGTGTGTTAGCCAACAAGTATACCAACCTGGTCGAGTTCATGCTGGCATTCTCCAACATAGCTGCCAAATCTGAAGAAAAGCTTGTGGCCTTGCCTCTTAAGAACGAAACATTCGGATTACCCATGAGATGTTCATTTACTCAAATCAGTTCCCAGACAGCACAGTAAGCTGTATGTAAGATTCCTTGAAACTTACCTTAGCTCTGGTTACACTGTCGTTCTCTTCTGATTCTTGTCCTGGTACAGTCAAATAATACTGAAGGGCAGCATCGCTGCGCAAGTCATTCTTACAGCCAATTAGTAAGTAAGGCACTCCAGGGCATGCGTTACTTATTTCTGGCATCCACTGTAAGATATGAAGAAAAGGTGACTAAGCACCTAAGCAAGGAAATTAAAGGCTGCAGCAACAGCAGAATTTTAAGAATACCTTGCTTACAACGCTTTGTAAAGACGGAGGATGGCCAATGTCAAAACATATCAGTATGACGTCAGAATCTCTGTACATCTCTCGTCTTATGCTCTCGTAGTCTTCAAGGCCTAAAAAAGGCATTGTATTAATGAACTTGGTATGATTAAAACTGATATCGCCAATCATCATTCAATTCACAAGTTCGTGATCATCTTGGTTGTAGCAACACCAATTATTAATTAAAACTCATAATTTAGAATTTATTTAATATTTGTCATTTAAAATTTATAATGGTTATAATTTATCAAAAAATGAGGAACTGACCAGAAAAATGAGCCGAGGAGCAAGATCAGTTCAGAAAATGAGCTAGAAAGTAACGGTTATGAGAAGATGGCTAGTGGTGGCCAATATGGATACTTTTCGTACCAGATAATTCCCACAGCATTAATTCCATTCTACTTCCTTCCGTTATAACGTCCGCCACACACTCATCAAAAATGCAAGATATCGTCTCCTCTGCCTACAAAGGACAAAAAGTAAACACTACTTAAAGGAACTTTCTACAACTCCTTAGTTGGCTGCATACTTTGTAAGTTAAATTTTATGAAAACTTTATTGTAATTTTCTTACCTTTTTATTGGTGCTGAATTTCAGAAACCACAGAGCAATGATACACTTAAAAACAGTTCAAATTAAAGTTGTTGTATAGCATTTCTGCGATCGAGGTACGAGAACGCAACCCCTAATTTCTGTTGGGTGATCTGTGCATTATTGGGTGTATTACTAGCCCTTAAGGCTTCTTCATAATAATACACAGTTTAAATAGAGGTTTCGCTGTAAGCAACCCTTACGTTTAAAATATGCCATGATCAAATTAAAGCCCGGTTTCCATATGATCGCTACCATCGCTGTGATCGCTGAGAAAAAAACTTAGCGATCGCAGCGATAATAGCGATCATCTGGAAACCACTCTCCAGCGATCGCAGAGATCTCAGCGACAACGATCGCTGAGATATAAAGAGTGCTATCTCAGCGATTGTTGTCGTTACGATCGCTGAACTTTTTTCTCTCAGCGATAGTAGCGATCATATGGAAACCGGGCTTAATCTATCGCAATATATAACTATTCACCCTTCCTCCTCAACTGCTACCTATACGCCTTACAAACATATCGAAAGCACTCTCCTAAGCTCTGATTACTCCTAGTTAGCTGACTAAATAGTCATCGAAAAATTATTTCCATTCAAACGCCTCAAAGGGATCCTGTTCACAAAATATACAAGGTTTTCCTACAGATAGACCAGAAATATACCCACCTTTCTGGTTGGTACCTATGGTTACAAAAAGGTCACACTAGCGTTGACGTTTACAGTCATTTTAAACTTGAGTAAAAAAGGCTATGTCACGCTGTTGAAAAAAAAGCTTATAGGTGTCTTCGCATCGATTAAATTCCAAAAACAATGGCCCAGTTTTGTTATTTAAGATTGTATTCAAGAATTGAAACTGTTTACTGTCGTTTGTTGCGACGGATGCCAGTGATAGGCATGGATTGAAACTTTAAAAAGTTGCGCCAACTTTTTCAAGTTTTTTGCTATGCATGAAAAAATTCGATCACCAAAAAAATTATGATGAAATTTGTTTGCTATCTTCTTCCTACTCTACAGGAACATTTTGTGTTTGGGTAAATGGCAATTAAAGTAACGACTTCAGCACAGAATCGACCTAAAACGGGAATATCCTAGTGACATAGCCCCTCTAACCACGGTAAACTTTCTTCACTGGAATCTATAGAAGCAGAAGTTGGAATGACTAAATGGTATTCTAAATTGCGAAAACGTACTCTGTATACGACGTTCCCTCCATTCCACTATTAGAAGGGTAGAAAACGCAATTTGATATTAAACAGACTAACACTTACATCAAAGTCGCTCTTGACAAGCGCGTTGAGCAGACTCGTCTTCCCACATCCATCATCTCCCACCACTAACAATTTGTAACGTTCTGTTGCAGGACATGGATACTCAAGAAGAAACTTGTTTCCAATATTTTCACCCTGCTAAGAAATAAAGCAAAACGAAAACGACACGTTAAGATAGCTACTCCTATGGCTTGCCCCATGTATGGGAATCCAAGAGAGTCGATTCCACGCCGTGGATTCCGGATCAGCCAGGTGCTGGATCCCGGCCGGCTTCTTGGTCAGTGCAACTTAGATCCTGAATTCCAATCGTTAGAGTGATTCCGGATTCCGGTTTGAGCTGTATTCTGGATTCCAAAGCGCAGGATTCCGAATCCCAAAAGCAAAATTTAATTTCGTAATTATTGTATATCTTTATGTCATTAGAATAAGATTGTATTTAATGTATTAGACACGTCTCCATACTACCTGCCTCGATTAGCTCTGCTATTTTGCAGGTCTGTATTTGTAATTTATTTTGAATGTAAACAAATAAAGCGTCTTCTTCTTCTTAAATTTTCCGGCTTCCGGAATCCGAAATGTCGAAATACCAGATTATTAATTTGATTCAGGTCATTTAATTTAGCTAGAGGTGGCGTGAACGGCGAGACTCCTGCCGAGACCCATGTTTAAAAATCCGAGACTTAAAGGAAAGAAACACGACAAACGAGGCTTTGAGACGCACTAAAATTAGCGTCCTTTTCTCTCGAGATCGGATCAAAATTTTACCAGAGGCAAAGTTGTCTAACTATCGTGATTCACTATCCCTTGATCTGATATGGAGCAGGAGCCGGCCACACCCATATCACACTTACTAGCATGTTATATGAGAGCTAGAAGGTTAAACATTATTTAAAGATATTTTGCACGATCAGGCTGCTAATTTTAACCAAGGATTTGCCTAACAAAGTACAGCGATGTACAGGCTACGACAGCTATGGAAAACAAATAAATCGACACACGAAATACAAATGAAAACAAAGAAGAAAGTGATTTTCCAAAATTATAAATAAACATCACAAGGGAAACGATGTGTTTGACTGTAGAGAGAAACCCGAATTAATGCGAAAATAGGTTCTGTCAGGCATTTTGATGGTTGAATATTATTTCACGAGGAGACCTTTGAAATTTTCAATATTCCACTAATTTTTCCCAAACTCGACACACAGACTTTTTTCGGCTTAACTGCCAGTCTACAGTAAAAATCAAGCGAGTTATCGATTGCATGAGAAATCGTTACTCGGAGTGAAAACAAAAACAAATTAAGAAGCCAACCTTGAATGACACTGCAGGAAGACTGAATGCTCTTTTCTTGCTTCTTTTGTGAGATTTCATCGATTAAAAATTACCAGCGTAATGGAAAATTTCGATATGGAACTAGAAAACACTTGAAAATATTGCATTTTGCCACGGTTCACTTAACGGGAAGGCGTTTTGTCAGCAAACGTTTCAAAACAATTATTTTTTTATATATTCAAATTTATTCTTTGCACTTCAAACTTTTAAGTTGATTAATCTCCATTTCCTAAGCATCCTATCGCTTAATTTGTTACTCAAAAGTGTAATTTATTTTCTATCTTCAGAAGTATGGGTGAGAGATATGCAAATATTCTGCCTTTAAAAACAGCTGCAATACAAGTTATATTCTCAGTTTTCTTTCTTTACTCTGTTTCATAAAGCACATGAAAATTCGGTTTGAGACTTCAAATCATGGTAAGCCAATTAAATAAGTAATATGCGATAGTTTGATTTCATTTCGGATGCTACGCAGTTCGTCATAGTTACATATTTTTTTCATATTTTATTGCAAATATGTTTTTAGCTTGGAAACAAAGACGCCACCTCACAATCATTAGCATTTGAAAGTTAATATTATTTGAAGATATGACTTATTTCGTTGTTTAATTTATCGACAAGATGTTTATTGAAAATGAAATAGCTTCAGCTTTCTTATACAGTGTGGACCGAGCTAATGATAAAATTTTATGTATTCCACTTCAGTAAAAATTTAGAAATGTTTATTTTATATGTCTATCTCCGTTTATTACTTTGTAGGTCTTTAGTTTCAGTTTACATAATTATGTCACCACGAACATGACGTTAAATCACATTTTGAAGTGATCCTGGAAAGTTGAAAACTTCCAGACTTCTTAGCGTGAACATCTTGTTACTAAATTCGTCAAAAGAAGCCTAAAGATCTTAGCCTATTCTAGGCGAGCTCAGATAGTAGAGCGTGGAGTTGGGAAAACGAGGTGAGACAGGCCTGGAACGGGCTACAAAGATCTCAGTTTTAGTTTATGAATCGAAGTTTTAACAAGCTAGCTCAGAAGTGCCGCTTTTCCCAATTCTTCCTGAAAGAGTTTGGGAACTGGGATGACAAAAATAAATAAATAAATAAATAAATAAATAAATAAGGTCTGCTCTTTTATTTCTTCAGTCCAGTTCTAAGTCCTTGAGCATAATATAATAAGAAGTGTCGTACTTGCTCAGTAGGAGCGAAGTTAGCCAATTAATAAACTAAGCTAAGTCAGCCAAGCTAAAAAAAAAAAACCGAACCCATTCCAATAACTGTTTATTATTCATTCAAACTATCTCCGACCTCTAAACATGCTTACCTCTATGAACAGTTCAGAACAGAACAGTTCAACGGATATGAAGGGATGTTTATTCTGATCTAGAAGAGTATTCGCATAACGTGTTCAATGTACTGCTCCATTTTTTCCAGAGGCCGGTTGCATAAACGGAGTTACACCGCACCCGTGACTATCATTTTCTCTTGGTGCTTATTACGTTTTGTGCCATTTTGAAACGAGGACGAAATTAGGACTCAAAAATATGTAAAAATAAAACTTCACAAATATACTGCAACCGATGGTGCCCGCCGGAACGTGTTCTTGGTGCAACCTTCGTCAACGCCTGGCGTAAGTCAGGCGTAGATGACACTACAGGTTCCTAACAACGTCAAACATACGTCTAACGTCGTACGTATCAGCTTTTATGCATTCGGACCCAGTTCCACACTGCCGAAACAGCTGAGCCACCGCGCCGTGCTTCTCCCCCGGCCAGAATTAGACAAGGTATTTATGGCAATCAAAAAAGGAAAAATATTCTGAATAAATAATTAAAACACTCCAATAGTTCAGTTCCGGGATTCAATATAAAGTGGGCAAAGGAAGACAACAAACTGGAGTAAAAATCTAGTCAAGGTCACGTTTCCAAGAGGAGATATTCTGATAAGCTTTTTCGGAATTGTGAGCGAAAAATAACAAAGCTCAAAGAAATACATCAGTGTATTGATGTAAGAAATAGGTGTGCGTGGAATGCGAGTTGTGGAGTTTCGATTAAAGAAAAATTGACGAGCTCAGCTTCTGTCTGTCTATTCAGTCAATTTAAAGAAATTAAAAGGTACATCTTGCGACTAAATAAAACGCTGTCGAACGATCACGTACTTGGTCCGACCGCCCTGGACCTGAAACAACTTTCAGACAGTAAGTTTAAATTTTGAAAACAGACGAACTGAAAAAGCTTGAAGGTTATCCGAGCTAAATAACGAGTTCTCCTTGTCTCAACGTTTTAGTCGACAATCGGACGTTAAAAGTGTCGTGACTTTATGAACTACGATCTCTGTTGATTTAGCTGTACGACATAACATATTAGGGCCATTTATACGAGGAAAAATAAGACGCGTCTTAAATAAGACGCGAACTGTACCATTTATACGAGCATGTCTTATCTAATAGAGCGGTTTTCACTTGACTGTCGTAAAACCAAAACCAAAGTAAATACACTAGCCAACCAAAGGGCGTAGTAAAACCAAAACCAAAACCAAAACCAATCCCTTTCGACAGTCAAGTGAAAACCGCTCTAAGACGCGTCTTATTTTAGACGAAATGTGCCGTTTTTACAGAAAGTTCGCGTCTTATTTTTCCTCTGATGTATCCCGCTCGGGATACATTGCAGCACGTGATCAAAGCATGGTGGAAAGTGGCGTGACAGAAGTCGGGAAAAACACCGCCTAGCCTGAGTATCAGGCGTTTCTGGGGAAAAGGAGAAAGATGGAAGGAAGGCCTGATACTCAGACTAACACCGCCAGGTCCTGCCGGTTTTCTTTTTCGTGAATGAACACAACAATACAATCACGGAGCCTCGAAAAAGTTATGCCAGAAGCTCCCAGAAGAAAAACAGCAGCTAGTGGAGGAAAAAGATGCAGATGATATAAGGAAAGTACTTTTGTTTGTAAATCATTCAGTCACTGGTTTTGAGAATTAAATTTGTGTTGTTATAAGTATCGAGTCGACTGTTTTGGTTCGTTTTCGTTCGCTCCGGTTATTCTTTTGTTGCTGTTGAAGTGAAAGTTCTAGAAATATAACAAAACACTTAATGTCAGATCCCTTGGGAAACCAGTCAGTTTTGTTTTCCCTCGAGTCCTGATGTTTCCCTCGACTTCGTCTCGTGAAACATCAGGACTCTCGGAAAACAAAACTAACTGTTTCCCTTGGGATCTGACATTAAGTGTACAATGCAAACGGAGGTTATCTGCTCATACTACGAATAATTTTTGTTAAGATTCTTCTTCGTCGTTGTTGTTTATATACTATTAATAGAGCTTAAAATTTGCTTGCTAAAGTGAATCACCCTCTGAGAAGTTCTGAGATAAAATAATCGCTGATATTTTGTTGAATTGCTTATGGTAATCACCCACCACATGTCGATTGTTAGAGTTTTAATTCTTTATTGAGGTTGAAAATCGCTCCGATTTATTGTAAAATTCATTTTTATGGAAATATTTTTTATTATTTTAATTCTCCAACACAGCCGCTGCGAAAACACTTTATAGAGTCGCGAGCACTTACGGAATATTTCGCGGATTTTTTACGATACTCTCTCCTTTTTTTCTGTTATCCTTGCCAGCATTTTCGAGTTTCCCTATTGTTTCAATATTCTTAGTTTAACAATATGTGTTTTTCTTTTACTAAACGCCAATAAATGTTCTTGTTATTCAGTGAAGTGCAGTGCGGTGATTCATTTGTTCTTATCAAATATGGAATAATGGATTCCAATCATAACAGTTTGGTTGAGAGCGAGCCAGCAAGGAGACCAAAGAGTCGTAACACACACACACTGTCACAGTAAATGCTAATTATAACAATGGCGCAAGCCGGACAATAGTAAAGCCCTTTGGATATAGGGCAGAAAATGTAGCAGGCGCAGATGGCAGAGTATATAACTGAGAGGTTTTAGCAAAAGAAAAAAAAAGCGTGGTTAATATAAGTGGTTATTAAAATTTTCAGGTATATCCCGTTTAGTACCCAGGCATTCGATCCCTTACCGGTCACTAGATTTAACGCGAAGTCAGCATTCATCATTCCCTCATCGCGAGAAAAGAATCATGATGCTGAACGTCTTACGCCTGACGCCCAACTACAGAAAGCGTCAGCTCTGTTTTTGAACTTTTTATCTTGTCGGACGGCAAGTACGTGATCGTTTGACAGCTTCTTATTTCCTAGTCACAAGCTAGATGTACCTCACGTTTTACGAAGCAACAAACTTTCGAAACGGATTGACTGAAAAGACAGACTGCAGTTTGTCAACTTTCCATTACTCGCACCTCGCACCTCGCACCTCGCACCTCGTAACTCGCAACTCGCAAAATACCCAGTCCCAAATTTAAATCCCCTCTAAATCAAACTGAGTACAATACGAAATTCCGCCATCTGGTCACTTTCACAAAGAACGTTGTATGATTTTGATTTAAATGAAGTTATTGACGTTTATGATGTTATCACATAGATGTTCTATTTGTCGTCTTTATTTAATGCGCCAAAGTTTAATTCAGTTCGTAAAATCGCGAAAATTAAGAGACTTGTGCTCCAAAAATTTACGAAAAAATTGAGGTGCAGCTAAAAAGGGTTTTTTCAAAATCGCTACATTAACGTGTCCCTAAATTTCTTGTAATAAGGTATACGAAACGGCGACGACAGCGGAAACCGTTTCTTGTGCAGTGATTTCGCGTTCTTTTCAGCCTTATCGATTTTATTCGAACTCAATTTGTCAAACGTAGCCGAATTTTCCTATAATTGGAATTATAAGACCGTACCAAACAGATATTAAAAGAAAGAAAATTCGACGTCTTGTGTTTTCACTTCCTCTGTTAAGATGTAACGACGCATCCGGAAACTTCATGTCGTCGTCATTGCGGTGGCGGCAATAAAGATGAACCAAAAATTGTGACGCTCGCGCAAATTGTGGTTAAACTTTATTAAAACCTGTTCATTTGTTGTTATTGTCCCCGTTGTTCATCGTAAAGGAGTCAGTGTGTCATCACGAGATTTTTCCTTCTCGGGCTTACGCCCTCGTTTATCGCGGCTCGCGTGCTTGGGTTTCTCGTGCAGTTAAAAGTTTAGAAAAATAAGAGACTGCTCGCAGTCTAGAAATTCTTCAAAATTGAAGCAGTTGGAGCTGCCTCCAAATTGAGTGAAACAAAGAAATAACAGCTCAAAACATCAAAAGTAGGTTTAAATAACACAGAGTACAAAAGAAGGTACTGACCGGGGACCAACTTGAAGAAGATTAAAACGGATTGCACTTGAAGTTTTTAAACTTGTTCTCTCGAGCCTGGCAGTATTTCAAAGTATATTTTAGCTGTCTGTAACGTTTTATACTTTAATGCTTGGGAGACAGATTAGTTTGAAATGAAGCTGTGAATTTTTAATTAGCCAGCAATTTCGTCGCTAATATTAAGTACCGGGACCAATAGAGAGCTTTAGATTCGAGGGCGACACGTTTTCTCGACTATTCTCTAAAAATAGACACCCCGGAAAGCCTCATTGTACTTTTTTTCACCACAAATGTTAATACGCTTATTTCCGTTGAAGGAGGTAAAGCCCTCTCCCGATGCTACAAAGTTATAAAATTTCTAACATTTGATAACTTGTTTTCACCACTAAGAGTCTACGACCTTCTCACTAAAACTCGTAGTAGAATGACGATGGCTAAACATCTTCCCGCCAAAATGACGTTGGTTTACGTGCTCGCTCTACTTCATTCTATTGGGAAAATCTCGTTCTCGTCAGTCGGTCCTTGTTTTAAAACCTAAAGCTTTATAAGATAATGAACTAGAACCGAGCTAAAAGAAGCCGTGACACAGCTGTTACGTTTGAAAACAATCAAGTCTCCACAGCAAGTTGGCACTTCGTGCTAAACACGATTGACGGCGAAGTCATAATGTTTTTACGTATGTTTTTGTTTGATTTTGCTCATACAAAGAACTGCAATATCAAACCAATACCGTTAATGTTTCAGTATACAAAAGCATTAATATTATCCTGAGCTTCGTGGAATCTAAAATCCGTTATGTTGTTAGCTTGGATATGATCTTTCTCAAACAAAATTTGCCGGTTCAGAAATGATTTCACATTATCTTTTTTAACATGACTCTACAATTAATGAATCGGTTAACATTCAAAAACTTCTTCCCCAGGGAATCATAAATTTCCTTTACTTGTGGGATTGCCAAAAAAGCTTAAAATTGAAAGCTTTCTAGGAGAGCTATGATTTTGGCAGCTTTTTTGGTAGAGCTGGGAGACGAACATAGCGTGGGATCAGTGTAGGCGGACAGAAAGGTAGAGAAGTCATTTGTGTGGGTCATACATCAGTGGTGTTAACGATCGAACACAACAAAAGACTGCCACAAACCTTCGATTCAGTTCACGGCGCATTTTCCTGGATTGTGCAAAACAGCGTTTTAAGAAACCAATGAATTTTACTTCGTTTCCAATTTAACTCTAGGTTCACCTTTTCAGTTACAGTTTACAAGTTTAAGCACGAGAGAGAACAAAAAGCTGTTTTCGAATAACTGTTGCGGTTAAGTCGACAAGTGGATTATGCTATGTTGACATCGCAGCATCACGCGACAGTTAAAAAATCCATCACTGGGTTTTGTGTTTACATTTAAGATCGAGTAAGATGCCTCAGTTATGTCATAAGTTGATATAAATAAGAGAGAAAAAGATTCTTCTGTATCCATATTTACCCGACACTTCATAACTCAGCACGCAAAAGGTGACGTAATATAAAAGAGCAAAGAAAGGAAGCGAAGTAAGAGGGAAAAATTTCCTCCCCTGCTGCGTTGGAATATGGACAATATTTTTTTATGATCTTTGTGTTGATAAGGTCAGTTATTGGAGAGGTCGTCTTACGGAAGAACCAAAAATGGAAAAAGATATTCTGCAGTAGTCTAAACCGTCTCTGAAATATCTGATCAGTGAATTTACTTTAAACATTCCTTATAAACGACTCGTTAAGCTGAAGACAGTCAGTGCGTACAGTAGAAACAGTTGATGCACGATATATGTAAATCTAAGGCGAAGAAAGCGTGTGCTTAGATAAATCTCTTTCTTCCTGTCAACGACAAAGTACCGTCACACTAAATGAAAGAATTTTTTGGCTGTTAATGGAAGGAACAAATAACAAAGGCAATTAATAAGTAATTAACTGCGTGAAATATTTCTCAAAAAGGTGTCAATCTAAAGAAAGTTATTGAAAACGTAATCCCAAAACTATTAGTCAAAAGAAAATCATGCCTGGAATGAACAAGCAGCAGGCAGGGAAACAATGTCGTGGAATTTCGAGATAAATGACAAAACAAAAAGCATTGTACAATCAAAAATTCTTACTGCTAAGGTAATTAGTCAGTTGAGGTTAATAGTCTTCAAGATAGTCTATGTATCCGCTGATGATATGTCTCATTTGGAATACATCAGTCTATAGACTACAGTCGATTTGGTCCGCATCGTGAAACAAATTAACAAACGCCTATACTCGATCAATGATTTATACAATACGGGAAGTGGAGACACATCCTTTCTTATAAACGTTAACTTAATTTAGTCTTACTAACCTCAGGAGATGGCATGGCATTGCCGGTTGAATGTCTGCGACGTGTTTCTTCTTCGAGCGTATGTGCGATATGCTCTGCGGGATGTGAAATGGGTTCTAAGATCACAGGGAGAGCATTCCGCCTGTTCCGCGCCATTCAAGATCCCCAGAAAGCGTTTCGCGTGATGAATGCAATATAAGTCCCTTGTAATCTCACTTGCTTAATTAATTGATGAAAGAAACACGGGTGATTTTTGAACCAAGAATCGTTGCTGGCTGAAGTTATTTTTGTCTCTATGTTTGATCCTGTTTACATAAAACAACTAGTCTATTCTATCGCCTCTCAGCTGTCATCCACAGCTCACTCGGATCAAAAGTAGCCTGTTAGCAGCGTAGTTTTCAAGTGCCAGTTTGATGACTTGTTGAGAACTCAGCGAGGAGGAACAGAACTCGTATTGTTTCACTTTTTCAGTGATATTTATCCTTCAGTTAGCTTTAAACCAAAGCAGTGCATTTGTCATATTTGCCGTTTATGCAGGAGTGGCGGGCAGAGCTTGTTTGGCTTGAGAGCGTTTCAAAGCTAATCGGTTTCCAATTATTAGGTTCAGTATAATAAAGAATTCTTTTGTCTCCTATTGTAATGCCTTTGTAAACAAAGTTCAAGAGAAAAAAGAATCCCGCCGACTGTGACCGACCTCATAATACCTATATCCTAAAAATATCTAATGCATAAAATATTTCAAAATATTTCTCCGTTTCTGATTGGCTCAATGGCTCAATGGACGCCAACCGAGAAGCCCTGGGGACGAGGTTGCGTTATTTCATACGTAATAGCCGAACTTCTGCCTAAAAAGCATAGCAAAAAAGGAAGAATACAACTCGACGGATGACATCTTCCATTCACAACTAGCCCGCCTGGCAAGTGTTTCCGTTTGGTTTCGGAGCTAAGAAAGACCGAGGAACGGGATTTTTCGGTTTTGGCCGCGCGAAAAATGGAACGAGAGCCAAAGTGGGCGGTTTTCAAAAGCCCGGGATATGTCTGCAAGCGTTTCTTTCCTTTTTTCCCCCTCCCGGCTTACTCGCGCCACTTTTTCGCGCGGTCTTTGACTCTCGCTCGTCGTTCGTTTGCTTCGAAACAGTACGGAAACGCTTGCTACGCAGGCTAGATCACAACAGCAAGGCAAAAGAATCAAGCATTAACCCTATTCAGACCTGGGGGTCGGGGGCGGGGAGGCTTTTGAGGTTCTCGATCCCTCACGGCTTTAAAGTTGAATAACTACAGTGCATCAAAACCATTCAAGTTATGACCGCCAAACTTGGTGACTTTTCCTAATTTCAAAGAACTGAAGCACATTTCTCACTATATAAAAGGTTTAGGGACGGACCATTAGAAAAGTGATGGGGGGTGGGGAAAAAACAAAATAAAATTCATGCAAGGGAAAATGCCAAGAAAAAAATTCTTGCAAAGAAGGAGGTAAAGAAAAAAAACTCATGCAGAAGGAAGGTCCAATTGTGATTTTTTCAGAAAGTCTGAGGTTCAGAAATCAACAATATTACCAGGTACAATATGAATAAACAAAAATCACTTTCTTCTTATTGAAAGGAGACAATTAGAACCTTGTTTTTGTTTTAAATTGCAGCTAGTGTACCTACAACATACACTGTATACTGTATTATAATAAAAATAATAAAATAAAATTTGTAATTAATAAATATTAGAATTTGGTAGCTTTGTAAATATTCTATAAAATTATTTGTGCCCACAATAAAAATTAGAGGATGGGTCTTGCCGCTTTGCTACACGACTACACCGGCCAAAAGCTATAGAATACTCAAGCGTCATTGGCATTAAAAGGCTCGGGTTTTTTTGTAGATAAAACTTTTTATTATTTAATTTTTTTCATATACACAAGGTAGGCTAGTTTTTTGGTGTTTGATTATTCAAGACACACTCGCACGGTTGTACTTGGTCGCCACTAGCCTTGACTAGCTGACAATAAGATCTACCCAGGTGGGCGTTTGAAAGTGCGCACGATATAAAAGAATAGCAACATGACTAAGAGGTTAAGACGACCAGTCCTTTATTAGCTTCTTGCAGTCCGCCTTTTCTCTTAAAATCCGTCTAGTTTTTATCTCATCCAGCCCGATTGCAAACCACGACGTTATTTTGACGGCTCACGGCTTTGCCGCTCGCGTGCTTAGGTTTCGCGTGCAGTAACTTTGCAAAGAAAAATAAGAGGCTGCTTGCAGTCTAGTCCCTTTAGACTGCTTGCAGTCCTCCTTTTCTCTTAAAATCCGTCTAGTTCTTATCTCATCCAGCGCGTACAGTAACTCTGCAAAGAAAAATAAGAGACTGCTCGCAGTCTCTTTGTTTAATAAATATCCAGATCAACACTCAGTTTTGTTTTGTCTAGTTGGTTGGAAGCGAAGTCAACATAAGATTAGTCACGGTGACGTATCCGAGGCGAACGGGCGGGAAAAACGGAACCAGAATGAGCATGAGTGCGTTACTTTTTGAAATTCAAGATTAAACAGCGGGGCCGAGTTGTTCAAAGCTGGGTTAAGATAACCCAGGGTTAGTGCAAGATTTGAAAGCTTAAAAAGCATTTCAGTTTTAATTCTTTTTGTCTACAATTTGATGATTGAAAGCTCTAAAAATAGCACAGAAAATTATCCGAGAAAATGCTTTTGAACACAAGAAAAAGCGGGTTAAGCGCTGATCGGCCTTCAAACAACTGGGCCCAGGAAATTATGGTTTTTAAAAAACCCTTGTAGGTATTTGCGATATCGACTTTTGCCCGCCGGCTTTTAAGTCATCTAATGTTATTCTTAGTCCTGTGAAGATTGATTTCTGCTTCTTCAATCTCATTTAGTGACCCTCTGTCGGACCTTTCTAGTAAAGTTAAAGCGCAAATCTTGAATAATCAGACAACATACTTTTAATTTGTTGGCTGGGTACCAGAGGTTTTTTCTCGTGTGCGACGAGGAGCTTACTCGTCAGGAAAAAAAGTTAATTAATAGCATTTCTGCTTGGACATAGAATGACACTTAACTGTAAACGTTTCATTTCTGAGTTGCTAGCCCCATCCTATCCTATCTTCGCTTGGACCACGTGACCCAAAACGCTTTGGCCGCGCTAGCCTGTGAACAGGCCTTTGGTCGAGCGGGGTGTGGAGAGGGAAAAGCGAAAAGGCTCTCCCCCGCCCCCCCTTTCACTTCCCTTTCCTGGCTATTTTTCCCCAAACAGAGAGCCTGTTCACAGGCTATGACCGCGCGGAATAATGAGGCCTAAAGACAAAGGGTACTCATTAATTGACTAACAACCCACCAGAGTAAAAGTGAGGTCATGTTGATCTCTAAAAGAACCCCCGGTTTGTATTCCGCCGATCTTCATTGGAAACTCCACATTAGGGGGGGACGGGGAGCGAGGCGTGGGAATGGCATCGATCAAAGCTTATTTCACTTAGAATTATACCGAATAGTTTCCCCAAATTTTTAACTTAAGGCCGAGTAATCATGCTGATCATCGCTCGTCTGGTCGGTAGCTTTACGATCCTCTGATCCTCTCTGATACCCAGCCCTACCCTACTCTGCTGAGGACAGATGCGACATCATTCCGAGAAACTGTTTCCGCTTTCGGCGCACGGATCTCGCTGTATGATCGTTTTCCCGACGTCCAGGTAAGTTGAGGATTCTTAAAACAATATGAGTCTTTTCACAGTCTTATAGACCTTATAATACGGTAGTCTGGGTATAAAAACTGCGCATTGTCCCAAAATGAGTGAACCGTGTAATGAAAGACTTCAGAAGCGGCGAAGATCCCAGATCGTCTCAGTGCTTGTTAAGTTTGACTGCCATGATGAAAAAACCCTCTCGTTATACCCGAAGTCTTGTGTGGAGATATTGCGCCAACCTCTGAATAGCTGAATTGTGACTTAAGTAAACTTTCTAAAAAATCAAATATATTTGATGAATTTGCTTGTTTTTAATGCATCCTCACCAATTTCATATAGACCATAATACAACTTGTTTCCGCCGCCCCGCACCAAATTTTGCCAAACTTCTGCTGCGTATTACAGGCATCTCAAGAGAAATTGAAGACAATGGTTATGTAAACTTTTGGGGGTAAACCAGGCGCATTATGGCCTATGTGAAAATGTTGAACAAGGCGACCAAGGAGCCCACCTCTGGTTGATCAAAATCTAGCATGCGTGCATGGAGTGAGCATTTTCACATTTTTGTGGATTTCAAATGAGAATGATCAGCCTTTCCCACTGAGACTTGTTGTCGTCTTCTCTCGCTTCAAGGATTCTCATTTGCAGTTGCGCTCAAGTGGCATGACTTGCTTATGCCCTTGACTTGAATGGTCAACATCAGTTGTGTGGAAAAAAATCAAAGCTTGTTTTAATGAAGAAATGAATGACACGAGTATTTATCTATGTTTTTCTCCAATTCTGTTTAGTTTTTTTGTAATAACAAGGTTCTTGTCAGGTATTTTCTTGATGGCCAATCCTATCTCACAAAGGATCAATATTTATTACAGGAATGTAATGTTCTGTTTCAGATAAACTGTCATGGCAGAGACAGATCCTCTCATACCTCACACCAATGCAACACAACTGCAACACACTCGAGTGTCAGTTCAAGATGTAGGAAGGACAGTGAGAGTACGGAACACAGTTTATTCTTATACAAACCATTTCATTATACAAAGTAGACCATATTTTCGAAGAAATCTACCAACCTACATCAATTGCATCTGTTTCTCTTACTTTGCTTGGATATTTTTCCTGGCATCTTTTCTTGGTATCCTGGCTGTTAAAGGTGGTTATTTCAAGGGGACACCATTTTATTGTTTTGTTGTGTGTGCTGTTTTCATCGCAGTCTTCAGCCAACATGAGGTTGTCAATAGAAGATCACTGCCATTTGTTTTGAGCCAACCCGTTTTTGATGGCCAAGAGTCTTTGAATGCATTATATGAGTTAACTATTACAGAATTACAAGGATTGGCACTACAGAATTATCAAGCTGGGATTGGATTTATCCATGTATCAGAAGGTCATGTGAAGTTTCAAGCTTTTAACAGACATGCTGTGGGTGCCATGCACTGTGCAAGGCGATTGTCACGGTGCATGTTGTGGCTTTTCTTCTGTTCTGCCTGTTATAATTTTTATTTCATGATGATTTATTCACTGGGTTTTAAATTTTAATTACCATCCCTGTTCTAAAATAATATGCAGTAAAGCTTAGTGCTATACAGAGGAGGCTAGGATACCAGTTTTATGCAGAAGTACATTTAGAAAACAAAGAAGATGATCATTATGCCAAGCATTGTTTACAAATATCAAAAGAAATGGCTGAGAAAAATCAGATGAGTCTCATGACAAAAGTTAATACCCTATGCAATAATTCAGATCTCAATGATTACTTGAACATAATCACCAAAAAACACCGAATAAATTCAGACTTAGCAACCACCGCTTTCTAATTGAAACAGGCAGACATACAGTACCAAAAACTCCAGAAAATGTTCAAATTTGCCCCTTCTGCCACTTAAATGAAGTTGAACACGAATTAGACTTTCTGTTCAATCAGTGCCAGATCCAGATCGTTAGAAAAGGGGGGAGGGGTCATCTAGACCCTTAGAAAAGGGGGGTGCAGTATCAAAAACAAAAATTTTTTGGCCCTTCGGGCCTCAGTTTGGTCTAAAAATAAGGAGGGGGGCCCAGGCCCCCAGGCCCCACCCCTGGATCCACCACTGTCAATAATGTAATCTTTACAATAGTCTTTGATCTAACTTTTACAAAAACAGTAATAATAACAGTAATAATATTTTGACAACAATGAAAAACCCTCTTCATATTTAACAATGTTGATCTTCATATTTACAGACTAGAGCTGCTTACATACAATGTATGTGATATAGACAAAACTTGTTCTTTAATCATAGCCTTTATTTTGATTTAAGTTTTTGTAGCATAAATAATGTAGGTAATACCATGTACTCTGAAAGGTAAAATACTGAAATAAAGCTGTTGTTGTTGTTGCATCCCTTTCAGAACTGCGGTAAAAGCTCAGGGGTACTCCCTTAAATGGCTTATACTGGGATGTGCCACTGGACAGGCAGGGTTCCCAATAGAAGGCGGCACCCGGCGATTGATCGCCGCTTACTTTGGGATTTATAGCTGCTTACTTTGTGTTTAAGTCGCTTTTCTTTGCTTTGTTTTGACACCTCTGGCTTTGCTGAAGAGCCTCCTACTTTATCAGTGATCACCTCCTACTTAAAAATCTATTGAGAACCCTGACAGGGTATGGTTTTCATCCTCTCTGTACTAAACAGGGTATATAATTTTGCACAAGTCTGTCCTAAATCGGGTACACAATTTCGTGCAAGTCTGTCCTAAACAGACTGTGCCTGATTTGTGCTAGTCTGTTCTAATCATATACATTGTGTTTTATTTAGATTTGTTGAGGGAGCTGTCCTAAACAGGGTACTAAAATTGAGGGTGTTGTCCTAAACAGGGTACCGTAAAATTCAGAAAATAAGCCCCTCCGTGTATAAGCCCCTCCAAAAATAAGTCCCCCAAACCGGTAACGCAAAAAACCCCCCGTTAAATCGCCCCTCCAAATATAAGCCCCTCAGGGGCTTGTACTTGCAAAATTGTCCTCAAATACAAAGTAAAACAAAGCAAAAACGGTAAATTTACTTCCAACTATAAGGCTAGCCCAATCGATTTTGAAACACAAAATTCCCTCAGTAGATAATCCCATCCGAATATAAGCCCCACCAAAAATAAGCCCCTCAAAAAGGGCCTTTGAAAAATATAAGTCCCAGGGCTTATTTTCTTAATTTTACGGTATGTATTTAAGGAGTTTTTTAGTCCTAAACAGGGTTAGGGTTTCAAACCCTCAGCAGCTTACCTATATACCCAAATATTGGTCAAGTACCCCCCCCCCCCCCTCGGGGGTGAAAGCAATATCTTTAAAATATTAATAAATGACAGTAATGAATAAATGATTTGCTCAACTCTTTCACAGCCATAAAATGCATCTGTTAGCCCTTTCGGTCCTTTATACAGACCAAAATGACAGATTTCCCTTTTCTTTCATATACCTAAGGCCTGAAAAAAAGGCCAAGTCCCCCTACCCAGGAACTGAAACTATCCCTTGTTCAACAAACTTTTTCAAAAATCATAACTGTGGTACAGAACTTTAAAGAGCATTGCTAGTTGCTGTACTAACTGTATTAATTATTGAAACTATAATCAAGTTTGCTATTACGCACGCACAGCACGTGTATACGTAGCCAGCTGCATTTTGGACTTCCACTAAGAATGAATGGAATGCACAGAACGTAATCTGATCGCGCCCGTTTTTACCTTCTTTCGCTCGTAATCTGATCACGCGTGGATTGACCATCTATAACGTGAAACTTACGCAATGCACAGCTATGGAGCAAAAGCGTTTTGACCCGCTGCGGCTTTGAACTTCGATCGTTGTCGCCCGCATTCCCTAACCTTACTAGTGGTAAGGGACGGACTGTTAGAAAACTTATGGGGCGGGCGGGCGAAGTACAAAAAAAAATTCGCGCAAGGGAAAATTAAATGAAAAAAAATTCATGCCCGCCAAATAACCCTAAGAAACAATCATGCAAAGGACTTATTTTCTAAAAGGACTTGTTTACGAAAACAATTCTTGCGGCTCGAAAATCCCCCCCCCCCCTCCGATAACTTTTCTAATGGTCTGTCCCTAAATCGTGTGGGACTGCTGAAGAACACCCGTTAAAGATTTTTACCAGTCTCTTGGTAGCTCATTTTATTGTGTTCCACTGTAGTATGAGGCATAGTAGAACAAGTTAAACTGTCAATAGAATTGAAGGAAAATGGAAATTTCAAATAAGGGTCAGTTTTTCTTGGTTTTATTTTCATGTTCCTTTTCCAACAATCCCCACACTGTGCAATTACATACAACCATAATAAATTTATTGCCAGGAGGCCAACATGCACTCGAGGCATATTCGTGTTGCTGTCGCGTGGGCGCTAGTTCGACCATTTTGAAAAAAAAACTACTTTTGAAGCGTCAATGTATTAAGCACGAAAGTGCTTACTGAGGACACTATTTTGTGTCTCCTACTGGAGACAGGCCGGCCATTTTACGTGGTTATCCGACTCGCTTCCTCACACAAAGATTTTGAGGAAGGAAAGTTGCCATTAAAAAAAACCCTGTCCCTTGCGAAATTAACCTGTGCCTGATCCAACCGGCAGCGCCTGGAAAAACAGATTTCCTTCTTGTGTGTGAATGGTGCTAATAAAACCACAATGTATTTCGAGATTGCTTTACTTATGAAGTGACTTTTCATTGCCTGGTAGATGCTCTCTTTTGGAACCAGGTCCCGTGGTATCATCAATATTGGAGCATGACAGTCCAACCGCTGACCAAAAGACCACGGAGCAGTTTCAAAACTATAGACTTAGGTTTAGTGACTTGTTTCAGGAAGGGATTCAAATGTGGATGAAGTTGCAGAGATTGTGAAAAACATCATACTCAGCGACAAGCCAAACCTACGATATCTAACAAATGACAATTCATGTCACGGTAGTAAAGGCCAAACTTTATGATCTAACTGGAAATGATGTGGTTGATTTGGTAATCAAAAAGTACTTCGGCAAAGAATAATTGGTACAGCTTCTTTAAGCTACACGGATGGAATCTTGTAACGAGTAGTTCCTGAGGCTGTGCGGTTCATCTTTTAAAATTCATATTATGCTTTAGGTAAACTGGCAATAATTTCTCGCCCAATAAATGGCTCAATTTATCAACCTATAGCTTGTTGCAAATGGCAATTTTAGTAATTCAAGGGATCACTATCATTTCTGTCATTAATCTGTCAGCACCGCCACAAAAATGCTATGGTAACGATCACTGCCACCAGCATCCAGCCGTCATTTTATCTTTACCGTCACCAACGCTATTTTTATCCTCATAACTGTGATCGCCTTCATCCCCATTGGCCACTATCATGCATCACCTTCAGTGCCACTATTAATCTCAGCTCGTACCCAGATTTCAGTGTAAAACAGAGTGAGACCTGGGTACGAGATTATGCCACTATTCAACACCACATGCAGCACTCGTCTTGAAAACCCTTGAACACCCAGCACAGCCTTGAAAGTCCATGTGTTTTTTTTCGAGGAACATCTAAGCCTTATCAACGCTCTAAGTACAGCTTGGCGTAAGAACTATAGAAAAATAATCAGCAACGCAGCAGGATCTAAACAGTGGCCCGTGGTAAGTGCGGAGTGTGGAAAAAAATTTTAAAATGTCTGTGATACATCCTTCGAGAGATGATTTAACGCAATATATTTTACTTTGAAGATCACTAAACAAGAACTGTGATGCAGCAAGTATCACTACATTTTTATTGCTAAATCATTGTCTGACGAATGTATTTCCCAAGAGAAACTGGAAGCAAAGATTATGTAAAATTTTGGGGGGCAAACAAGGTACATTATGGTCTCGGTGAAAAGAGTGAATTGACCAAGATTCTCATTACGCTGTACTAGGCTTGAATGGCTATGGAGCCTGCTGCGCAGCAGCAAGAGTTTCTGCTCGAGTTCTTCGAGAAAGTTCCAACTTTTGCTGAAACACTCCAAAAAAAATTCGAGAGGATGAATTTTACCTTTATAGTGCTGGCCACTTAGACAAAGTTGACCAATCGGATGGCAGGAAAATAACAACATTTCAAGAAAGTTAGTTGTGGGCCAATCAGCAGCTCGTAAGAAAAACAATGCAATAGGGCCATTTACACGAGGAAAAATAAGACGCGTCTTAAATAAGACGCGAACTGTACCATTTATACGAGCATGTCTTATCTAAGACGAGAACAGCTCGTATAAATCGTTAGTAGTACATATGGCTACTTGGGGTCCTAACCAATCAGAGCGCAGCAAATTTCGTCTCGACCAATCAGAATCGCGCATTTGGCCCATGTGACTTATTGACGTCACAACCCATTGTTTTAAACCACGTGACCCCATAGGAATAAAGAACACGCACACACAAGAGTTGAATCTACATTCTTGTCATAGTTTTAATGACCGCGTGAAACCCTGGGTACAAGCGGGACGTGTGTGACACCCTAGTGATATCACGCCCATTACAAATCTAATAACAAGTCAAGTTCATCTCCAATCCTCTCATAGCCATAGGGATAACTGGATCGGGTGGCGACCTCAATGACACGCTTGTCAAACACCAACCCATACTGCTTCACGCGCGGAACCACTTGAATTTGTTTTTGTTCTAGATCTCGTTGGAAATAATAAGGGTTGGTGATATTCAAATTGCGTCGAGACTCCTGGGGCGAATCCAATTCGGAGAGAATGTTCTCTTTCATGGTCTGAAAATTGAGAATAGCGGATCCACGGACATTGAGCGTGAAACCGCGGACCTTGCATACCACTTTGCCTCCACGGGTCTGGTACCCATAATTCTTGGCGCCCCCCGAAACAAACTCGGTGATGACGTCACCGTCCAATTCGTCGGTCATGTCCCCCAAAAAATCCCCGGTGGCAATGCTGGGTTGACCGGGCCGCCATTTGTATACCACACTATCAGTGTCGTAGTAAAGGACTTGCTGTTGCAGGGTATCCAGAGACTCGTAGAGCTTGAGTCGAGCATGGCAGGTGGTGAAAGCGGCCACAAAAATATTGGTCTTGGTGCCTTTGACAGCATTGTCTTGGACACTGGTGTAAACGGCTTCCAAGATATCGTCCGTGCAAAGGCGGAGCGTACTAAGGTCGAGAGCAGCATCGGAAATGAGATTGAACAATTGGGCGGGGTCTTGGACAGTGACAGTGGTGGGTTTATTGATCCGCTCCCCAAATTTGCCCCAGAAGCTGTTCAGCATGAGCTTGGCCGTGGCTTTGCGGCCGGGATTTTTGGCAATACTGGCAATGTCCAGTTGGATGCCTTCCCGTTCCTGGTAACGAAGAATGTAATGGCGTTTTTGCTCAAGGGTCTGACACCAGCCGGGCCATCCTGCAGATTCTTGTTTCAACTTGAGCCACGTGTTCACATAATCAGCAAAAAGACCCGTTTGGCGTTGCTCAGGGGGAAAATGCCAGACTTCATGAATCTTGATCAGCGTGTACCCCTTTTCGACCGCTTTGACCAATTCGGGTGTGCACCAGGTACCGCGTAGCGTGCGATCCGCATCAGAATGAGGGCAATAACGGGTTCGGGTCAACATGGGTTGGGCCTGCTCGGTCTGAACACAAGCACGGCAGAGAGGAAAGGTGAGCTTGTTGCCGCTACGCACAGGCAGAACAGGATGGAACAAACCAGCGGGGGGAAGAATATCGACGGTGGCTAGACCAAAATAGGAGTCCAAGGACTGGTCGGCAGGCTGCGTGGTGATCCGCGGATGTCCGATGGGATAGGGACAGTTTTTATTCACCCACGGGTACAGGGAGGTCACATCCACATAGCGTATTTCCTCCCCCTCTCCAGCTACGGCATGCAGAGCTACGGCACCCGTTCGGCCTCCAAAGAAGGCTTCACGGGGTTCTAGGGGCGCCACCAAATCGAAGGAATTCAGGAAATGTTGAACAGCTTCATCCGTGTCCACTAGTCGGTCCCATTCACATTCCCACATTTCGATGACTGTATAACCCGCTCGGAGCAAGGCCGTGCGTTTGGAGAGCGTGGCTTGATAGAGTTCCTCTACAGTTCGATCCGGCGTGGCATAATGTTTGGCGTTTCTCGCGGGATAACAGCGGGGACAGCCATGGTAGAGACATCCGTGAAACTCATAGACGGTGCGAGTCACAGGATCGTAGCCATCGACGAAATGACTGTCGACGCTGGTTCGGACCGATTGTTCGCCGCCATTACGAACGTGACGTATGCGATCAGCACTGGCTCCCTCTTTGGGAAGGAGATGTTCTTGGTAATAGAGCCATTGGAGGGCTTTGAGGGAATGGTTGACTTGGGCCCCTCGCCACCCTCCGAGAGGTTCCACTGCAATGGTGTCGGGGGTCAAATGATGCTTGCGCCAATACAAGTTGCAGGCACTGGCGATGGTAATGCACTTGGCCATAGGATTGAAGCCCGCCTGTTGTTCAAATTCTTGTTGAAAGGCTTCACACCCAGCTTTCAATAGAGCCACATCGGATTTGCAATACTCAATCATTTCTTGTTGGAAATGGAAGGGCACGTTCCGACGGACTTGATCCGCATGCCAACGAGTCAGTTCCTCTTTCTTTTTTGGCCATCATGCCGTCGGGGTCGTAAAATTCCAAATCAGGGATGCGACCCACATACTGTTGGTGATCGGGGGTGTTGAACAAATGGGGAAAGAACCCCTTCTTTAATTCGGTCAAATTGAAGGTACTGGAAAAGGAAGCCAGCGGCATAGGCAAGAAACACAACGAGTCGATGAATTTGAGGGGTCCACTTCTGAACGATAAGACTTTGGCGCCCACGGTCAGTTGATCCACGACCTCGCGTTGTTGCTGGTAGAGTTCATGGAGAATGAACATACCATCAAACCCTTTTAGATTGTGAAACACCACGAGAATCTCCCGCTCGCCCTCACAATCTGGAACATCCGTGAGATCATCCAAATCGCGCAAAAATTGGAGGGCACAGTCCTCCCCGTCCAAGACATGAATGGTGGTGTCGACACTCGACGAATAACATAACAAATTAGCCACAAACACGCCTTCTGCATTCTGCATGGCTTCAAAATCTGCGTAAACAAACAGGGGAGGGGGTGGCGCCACCATGCTACCTCCCCCCTCCTCTGTCGGTTCAGTCTCCTCATGCTCATCCTCCACAGGCTGAATGTAACATTTATGGTTCTGGATGGACACCCATTCCTGACACGCTGGGCATTTGGCGTACCCGCACCGGTGACGTTGGTTACGGACGACTGTGTATTGGGCTTGACACTTGAGACAGATTTTGATGGATTGACATTGCTTGCTGATTTCATGATAACGTTTGCATTGATGGCCATAAAACTTGCGGTAACACAGACAGCAATACTCAGTGGGGCGGGTGCCACGCACATACTCCGGACAATCAAAACGTCCACACGCAGAGCAACGTCTCCCTTGACAAGTATGATTGGTCCGATCGTCGGTGTTGAACCCTCGTTCACAGTCCAGGCAATAATACGAACGATTGACAAAGGCAGGAAAAGACGTGCAACCATCAAAATGATCATTGGATTTCAGTAAACGAATCTGATGAGGGGCGTCAGGGCCTTTGAAAATCAAAAAGAACGGTTTCATCCGGGTCATCACCAAGAGTTGATAGTGAGAGCCCAACGCTTGTTGAAACTGACGAAGCTCGGGGATGCCACAGGGACCCTCCGCGACACCCGCTTGCTGATGGAGGGCCTGGGCTTGACGTTGTTGCACAGGTCGACCACGTTTGAGATTGTCCCAGTCGCGAAACCTGTCCACGCCTTGATCTTTATGGCAATAAGCACGCATGGTGACAATAGCACGAGCACAACATAAAGTATCTCTATTTTTGATGGGGACAATGCATCTCTTTTTCTGGTTGACTCGATCCAAACATAAACGTCCCACATTACGTTGTTTATGTCGACCAGACCCTGGACCGGGCATGGAGACAAACACCACATCCACTTGGAACCCGCGATCGGGGTTGAAGGCTTCATTGCTGTTTAATTTTCCCGCCAGGGTAGCTAACATCTCATCCAATCGAGCGGTGCGTTGTAAAAATTCCCCCACAGTAAAATTGGCGGTTTGATAGGCGTGGGTGAACCCATGCGCTGTAATGGCAAAGTTCACGAAATGATGAGCGGGTCGCTGCTCACGGTCGAGTTCTGTTTCAATGGCTTGATGTAAGGCTTCCGTCAATGCCAGGCCGATATTATCTCCTGGACCAGCATCCCTCAATTGACGCAATTGCGCATTGAATTGCGCCCGCTCCACCACATTGCGCCAGCGGCGTCGTCGACCAATAGGTTGCATGGTAAATTGAAAGAGAGGGCCTCGGGCGGCAATAGCTCCACCCAACTGTTCCCACCGGTCATAAGCGCGGTTTAACAGAGCATCCTCCTCGTCACTGTCATCATACCAGTGGTCCTCCGCCATGACAGAGGAGACAATTTGAATTTTCCCGCGCCGGACGCGGACTTTTATAGACCTAAAAACACGTGATCAATTGAACAGGGATTGGCGGACTTGACTCAGGTGAGAGTCAGGTGAGGGTCAGGTGAGGGGTTGAATAGACAGGAGGAGGATTGAGGGGGGTACCCCCCATGGGTACAGAATTTTCCAGTCTCCTCTGAGCCTGGACCGAGAGCGGTGATTGGTGGAAAGATGGCTAGATATAGACCCTCGTTCAGACCAGACGTCAGTTGCGTTCGAGACATGCCGAAAGATCCTGAGAAAGTGAAAGAGGCTAAACACCGGTGGTACCTGAAGCACAGGGAGAGGATTGTGGCACAGAAACGGGAGAAGCGGGCGGCTCAGAAAAAACTCAAACCGCCCAAGCCACCCAAACCGCCTCCGACCCAGGAACAGTTGGCCAGAGCCCGAGAGTTGAACCGGTTGGCTTGTAACCGATACCGATCCACACACGGAGATCAAGTACGGGCACTCAACCGCAAGTACTACCATCGACACCGCGATAAGATCGTCCAACAGCAACGGGACCGTCGTGCCCGGGCTCGAGAGTCACCCAATCCCTTCCGAAAATTGCAAGCCTTGGCCGATGAGTGCGCTGCCCGTTTACTGGTGATTGAACATGGATACGCCAGGATCGCGCCAGCCCCCCAAACCCAGGAAAAAACGGGACCCTGTGAAAAACAAAGCGCAACAAAAAGCGTATCGGCAACGTCTATATGCCAAACCCAACGGCATAGAGGATGTCAAGGCCCTTCACCGTCGCCGCTACCATGAACGAATGGCTCGGTTGAAAGTCAGTGGTGAGTACGATGCCTTCAAAGCTAAAAAATCTCAAGAGGGCATGCAGCGCTACTACGGCATGAGCAAGGAACGGCGGGAGGAGGTCAAGCGTAAAAACGCCCAGTGTCAGAAAAACTGGCGGGAGAAAATGAAAGAGCGAGGGACCTACCAGGCTTATCTGCAACGGACCAATGCCCATCGACGAGAGCAGGCCGCCCAGAAAAGAAAAGAGTTGGGCGAGGAAGGGTGGAAAGCATTGCAAAAACAGAGGTACAACAAGCGAATGGAAGCCATTCGACGTCGAGAATGGTCCTGGTTGGACGAGGAATTAGAGCGTCCCTTTCCCCTCCCGTGGTTGCCATTGGACTTGCCCCTAAGTGTACCTAATGAGGACAGTGTGCAAACCCATCGCGCAGAGGCCTTACAAAAAATGGACTCGTACTTGTAAGAACAAAAGTTTAATTAAATCATGTGTATTGTGCTATTGAACATGGTGTCTTGTTTTTTATGACTAAAGGGGGTTTACATGCCGAATCGAAGTTTAGCTTTCATAATGCGTCTCACAATACGCTCTGTTAAGTTTTTACTACCAGGGAGTTGATCAATCTTGGCAATCATCTTGCGATCTGCTGCCCATTTGTCTTTCAACGTCTTGGCTTTATCATAATCCATGTCATGGGCTTTGGCAATCCTGTCCAACCGGTTGATACCGGGATCCCCACGGGCCAATCGTTTCTTTAAATGAGTGCCAGGGCCCATGTACTGATAACCAGGCCAATGAAATTCAATACCGGTCTTGTTAAGGAGGTTTTGCACATCAAATAACTTGCCGCCCCGTTGCGACCGTCGTCGTCGCCTCGCTCGGGAACGGGAGGCCGCAGCACGGCGTTTGCGTCCCATTTTTTAGGGGGTTTTCCACGATTTCCAATCCAAAGCTTTCTTGGCCCAACCTGCGGCTTTCTTTTTGGCGATACTCGTAGCTCTCTTTTTGGCCGCTTCTTTGGCTTTTTGTCTGATTTTGCGCTTGACGGCTAAGGAGGGGGTGTCCCAAGGTGTCGGGCCCACGTCCTCTGAAAAGGGCAATTCTTTGGCCAACTCCGCACTGGTCGATGGGGTGGTAAACTTGAGTTTCTTTTTAGCACTGGGGGTGAACTTTGGCTTGGGCGGGACAAGCGGTTTTCTGGGTCCACCCGTGGGGGTGCCTTGTTTTATACCCTGGGTGGCCTTGACCAATTGCGTAAACCAGGCTTGCATGGGACCCGCTTCAAAATCATCGTCGCCCGGCGTCGTGGCCCCGGCAGCTGTCACACCCCCAGCAGCAGCTCCAAAGGGTTGGCGCACTTTTTTAGTCCAATGGCGTAATTGACGGCTGACGGCTTTGAGTTGAGGCCGTTTCCAAGCATCAGGGACATCACTGGTCAGAAGGACATGTTGTTTGGCGGCTAAATCGGCGGCTTTGGTCAAGCGGGTGTCTTCCACCAATTCTTGTTTGTACTGGTCTCGTAATTGTAAAAAAGCCGGGGCGTTGTTCACCGTGGTGCTGACCATCTCGGGTTCCATGGTGCAACTGAGGGGTCGGGTCTAGCGCATGCAACGTTTATAACATCGGTAGAGTTCCGGCCAAAGGGCACCCCCTTTTTGAGCCATCATGATGGCGCGTCGGCGTTTGACGGAATGAGCGGGTTTAGCCATGGCGCGTAAACTCTGAGCGTGAGGTTTGAGTAACGTAATGGTCTGCCGGGAACGGGGGACCGTGCCACGGAGGGTGTTCATCACCAATTCACTGACAGCATTGATCTGATCCGCATTGGCCATCCGCAACAATTCTTGTCGTTTGTGTTGATTGGCTTCTCGTAAGACACTTTTTAAGAACGGGGCTTGACGTTCCATGCGCCACCCCATGATGAATCTTGAGTTCAGGCAAGGACCAAGGTCTATTTATGGTAAAAATGGCGCCACACCGACCACACAATTCGCCATGATAATGCGTTTGCATGTGATGTCGGCACCGGGCACACAAAGCGGCGTCATATTGGTCATCCCAATCCAACGCAAACGTGACGGCTTTGCGTTTTGGGCGTCGTTTAGTCTGGGCGTCGTAGTCGGATTCTGGGTTTGAATTTCCGGAGATACAAAGGCGAGAGAGCCATTGCCAACAGCGGGAGTTTAGCACCGCGTTGGCGTCCACGTCGGCGGCGTCGTATTCGAGGGACATAACGATGTCGACGACCGTTGGGGCCACGAACCATTCTTCAATGAGAATCGTGTGTCCCACCCAGCGTTTCTTTTATAGCCTTTTCAGCGTTTCGAACCAGCCCAACCCGGCATTCGATTGAACATCCGCTGGACTCGTCGTTGGGCCAGTCGTTGATTGGCGGCACTCATCTTGCCCACTTTTTTTTTCTTTTTCTTCTTCATGAGGACGGCGGCAGCCACCGCTGCGGGGATGAGAAACGGGAGAATACCCCCGCGTTGCTTTCGGCGTCGTTTTCGTCGTCGTGGACCACAATGCATGATGATGATGAACTGTCCGAAGGAGGACACCCCTTGAGTCTTTTATAGTTTTTTACATAATGGAACAATTAAAGGATTCCCCCGCGTATTTTTTCCGTTTGCCTGAAGCCACTTCCCGTCGACGTTTTTCGCCAATGGCGATGGCACGCTTGGTTTGATGATCCCCGATGGCTTTGGTGATCCCATAACCGGCTTTGAGAATCCCTAGGGGCATGCTGACCGCGACACCCCCTACTTGACTCACACGCCGTCGTCGTTTGGCGGGTCGTCGTCGTGTCGTCCTGCGTTGGCGTTTGCGTCCCATCGCGTATCGACAACGGCCACACATTTTTGGGACAGGGGAAGAAAGGTCCCTGTTTTTATATACTACGACCTCGTCCACGGGCTCGGCCCCGTCCGCGTGCTCGGCCACGGCCCCGTCCTCGGCGTGGTGGTCTGGGTGGACTTGGGCTGGAGGTTCGGGTGGAGGTGCGGCGCACCGAGGGACGACCCCCCTCTTCATACACGGTCGTCACCGTATTGGTGTGCGTGATGTTGCGAATGCGTCGACCTCGTGCCCGTTCTTGAGCATCTTCATTGAGCAAATCCAACCGTCGCCTTAAGCCTCGCCGTCGATCGTCATCATCATCATCACCATCCTCGTCATCGGACGGAGGGGACGAACCTGGGGAGGGTGGAGAGGGCACCCTGGGGCGCCGTCGCGGTTGTTTGGCAGCGATGGTGGGGCGTCCCGTGGGGGTCGTTGT